CATTTTAAAGCTAGCCTCAGCAAAAGTGAGGTGCTAAGCAACTCATTGGGATCCTGTCTCTAAATAAAATACAAAATAGGGTCGGTGATGTGGCTCAGTGGTCGAGTGCCTTAGATCAATTCCCAGTAACCTCCCAAAATAATAATAAAATGTAATTATAAATTAAAAATAAATACAATACTCCCCTACTGACAGGTAAATAGCCATTTCCATGAGGCCAGCCTTCCCTGTAAAGTCCACCAGGGCCTTACTCCTTCCATTATTTATTCAGTTGATTGACATTTTGAACACTTTTGGATGAACAGTCATGACTATGACCATTTTCACGATGAGGAAAACTAAGCTTCTAAGAGATTATGGAATGATGTAGCCCATGTCATCTGTTGGGATAATCCTAGTATTGGGACTGAAAGGAAAACAAATTGTTCTCTAGAGTCACACTCTGACACCAACTGTTCTGCATTTTTCCCATGCCAAGCAATTCTCCTGTCCTCTGCACAAACCAACTAGGTAGCCCACAATTTGGTTCAGTTCTGACATGACCTACCTAGAGTTAGTGTCAGACGCCACAAGAGAAAGGGCTCAATCCCACCAGACTGTCCCCACTTCAGATGCCAATCATGATGCTGATTGTCACCTGCACTTCAGACCGGCCAGCTAGACATCAGGGGTCCCAACAGGCTCCTCTTCAGTTTTAATAATTTGTTATAATGGGTCGGAAAACTAGAACATTTGTATAATTCCCTGACTTATTATAAAAGATATTACAGATGCTATGGATCAACAACCAGACGAGGCATATATAGAGCAAGGTGTGGAGGAAGGAGCACAGAGCTCCAGGTGCACCCCTTCCAGCTCCTCCACTTGTTCCCCAACTAGAAAGCTCTCTGATCGCCTTCATCAGGGTTCTTTGATTAGATCATTGGCGACTGAACGCAACCTCCAGCCCCTTTCCCCCAGAAGCTAGTAAGAGGCATGGAAAGTTCCAACTGTGTCATCACCTGGTTGCTTCCTCTTCTTCCACCTCATTAGCATAAACTCAGGTGTGGCTGAAATGGACACATGGTGAACCCAACAGCAATACTCAGGAAATTCCAATATTTATTTCTTATTATGCCACAATCTTCCAGGGAACATAAAGTCATCTAATCCAAATCAACCTCTTCATTTTCTGGGTGGAGAGACCCAGAGGGTTTGAGGAGCATGCCCTAGACCACATGGCTGGCTGGTGTGGCTCTATCAGGGCACATGGAACATGCATCTCGGGGATGTCACCTTCCAGAATGGAGGGTAGCAGGGACAGAACTGCCACCTTCCTACCTGGCCCCTCTTGTGTTTGGGGCACAGAGAGGTGCTGAAATTTGTCAGGTTCAGCATAAAATGTGAAGCCTAGAAGACTGCGGTCATTGACAACAGGACTGGTGGGTTAGTGGTTATGGAAAAGGCGGAGGTAGGTAGAGGCAGGAGCAGGGGAGATGGGACCTTTGGACCCGAGGTGGGGAATGGGGAGCAGGTGGGGGCCGAGCTGCAGCCTGAGCTGGGGAAAGACAAGGAGAGAACCAGCAATTCCTGAATGCTGTGCCTGATGCTTTGTCAGTGTTGGTTCATGGAATCCCCCAGAATGGGCCTTTGGAGGAATAATTTTATTCTCACAGGCCAAGCAATGACCAGAACACTTTTCCCAGTCCTTAAACTAGCAGAAGCGAGACAGACTCTCATGGATCTTCTCTTGCTCTCACATGTGATTCCCCAGCCAGGCTTTCTACAGTTGAGGAACTTCAAAGGCTGAAGACCTAGGTCTGGGGGAGGAGGTGGGTGCTGAGCCTGGGGACCATCAATAAGGCCACTAATAAGGTGTGACTCACGGAGGAGCACGAGGTGTCTCTGAAATTCCCCATGAGTTTACGATCTGTAGGTGGTTTTGCAAGAGGCAGGTCAGAACCTGGGGGGAGGGGTGAGAGGAGGAGCCTGGTGGTGGCCCTTCATGCCTTGTTGCCCAGGGGAAAATGGCCATTTCACATTTCAATTAGACAGGGCACTGGGTCAATCAGCAGCTCCACTAGAGGAAAACAGCCCAGCCCAGCCCTAGGCCTCTCCAATTACTATCAATGAACTGAGCGCCAACCTTTTTATATGCAAACTAGGTTTTTAAGGAGCCACTGCTAATCGGGACTCATCAGAGGGCACCTAAGAAGCCCCAGTGAGAGATGGCACAGGGCACAGCTGAGAGATGCTTTGGCTCCCGCCCATGTTCTGGATGGGAACAGTTGAGCCCCAAGCAGAGGTCCAGCCTGGCAGGAGGCCTCGCGGCTCCCTACCCTGTGGCGGTCCTGTCCTCTGTGGAAACTTGCTCTTCCATGACGGAACAGAAGGTGACTCGAGCAGTGGGCCCCTGAGTTCACCTGCTGATGCTGAACCACTGCTGTTCCTCTCCCTGCCTCAGTTTCTCCTGTGCAGAGCAGGAGGGGTCCACTAGGTCAGTCAGGGGACTCGGACTCCAGGCTCCCTGAACGCAGGAGCCGGAGCAGCAGCAGGTTGGTGCAGGAGGTGAAGACACTTCCCGCCTCCCGCTCCGAGTGCTTCCCGCTCCCTGGAAGGAGAGCTGCTCCGGCCTCAGTTGACCTGGGCTCCCACTCCTCTTCAGATCTGCTTCTGATCTGCTGTCGCTGAGGCTCCAGTGTCACACCTCTCCCGCTTCAGGCTGAATCTCAACGTTTTTTACAAAAAGCTTCCTCCGACGTCGGTTCCAGTTTCCATCTTGCCAGAGCATGGGGTTCGGGCAGCAGCCAAGGGAGGCTGAGATGGAGACCCCGAGGTTCCCAGAGATCCTTGTGCTTTGGAGACTTGGGGATAGGCACTAGGTCCAGGCCCAGGCCCCTACTCTCCCTGCTGCCTGCTTTCCCGCTGCTTCTCTTTGTTTTTATTGTTTTAAATTTGTGATAAAATACCCTTCTAACCAGCTTTAATGGTACGTAGAGTTGGGGGGCCACTAGGACGTTCACATCCCCGCTGTCCCCAACTAAAACTGCCTATTAAACAACTCTTCACTCCCCTCCTTTCAGACACAGCCTTCTCCTGTCTGTCCCTGACCCCGACTCCTAGGTGGCTCCTGTAAGAGGAGCCACGTCCTAGTTGCCTCTCTGTGGCTGGCTTATTCACTTAGCTCGATGTGCTCAGCACTCTTCCACGTTACCCTTTTCCTCCCTTGGGTCAGAGTCTCCTTCCTCTTTCAGGCTGGGTACTAGTCTGTGTGTGGCTCTGTTTTGTTGGGTTTATCTACTCATCCACCCGTGGACACTTGGGTTGCTTCTGCCTCTTGGCTACTGTGAGCAAAGCTGCTCCGAACAGGAGTGGACAGGTATCTGCTCCAGTCCCTTCTTTCTGTTCTTTTGGAGACATGCCCAAGAGAGAAATTGCTGCTCACCCTTTAGCTGTTCACCGAGGTTAAGGTGCGGACAACCTGGAGGAAAGGAAGGGGAGGGTTGGTGTGATGGGCCTGGGGTCTCCCTCAAGTAAGCCTCCTCCGCTGGTCAGTCTGCAGCCTCTGTCCCCTGGCCCCTCCTTTCTCCTGGCTTCCCTGAGGGCTTCTCTGTCCCCTCTTCCTTTCCTGCCTCTCTGTCCCTCTATGTCCCCTGCTTCTTTTTTCCTCCTCTGTTCTTACTGGGTGACCAGGAAGGACAAAGGGTGGCCACCCCGAGTCATGGAATCGTGACTGGTTAAGATGGGTGGGGCCTGGGAGTCCCGCCTGACTCTCAAGGTGGGGACGTGCCCAGGGGCCCAGGCTCATCAGCAGCTCGGCTGGAGCTGGAGCTGGCACCAGTCTCCCCAGCTCTCAGCCACACCGGGAACGACTGGCTCACCTTTGCTTTGGGTCCCAGCAGGGACAGTGGCCAGTTTCTTGATGGCCCCTGACCCCTCTGGTCCGCATCCTCCCCGCCTCCCCCCAGGGCTGGCTTTCCGCCTCACTCTGCTGGGAGCCGGAACTGGGGAGAGGGGAGCAGCCTCTGCCAAGAGTCAGCCATGAGCCCCTGATAAAGCCTCCTCAGGAAGGAGGTGGGGCCCTGGTTTTGATGTCAACCTGTCCAGTCCATGGGCCTCTGTCTTGGCCTGCACCAGATGGTGCCACAGAGGAAGGAACCCAGCAGAAACCCGCACACCCTGCTTGCGTCACATAGACCTCCTGCTGCCTGCGCCATCAGACCTGGATACCCACCCTCCCACCCAGCTCCAGAGAAGGCAGGCACCCGCCAGCTGCCATGTGTCATCGGGGCAGACACACACCCTCCTTCCTCGGACCCCACTCTCCCCGGGTCCTCCCTGGACAGAGCTGACTGTCCCAGGAACAGGGGGCCTTGTGATCCATTCCCTCCATCTGCAGAGGCCCCGGGGCCCATGCAGCTCCAGGGTTGAGCACACCCACTGCAGGCACCTAAGAGCAGCTCCGGGGATCTTCTCAGAGGGCTGTTTCCTTGGGTTAATCAGAAGCTTCTGGACTGAAAAGGTCACTGGAACCTGTTCCAGAACCTTCCCCAATGCCAGACGGCCTCCATATGGGATGCCCGCCGCCCTCTTTAGTTGTGGTTCGGACCCGAGTTCCAGAGGCCAAGCCGAGGTCCAGGCTTGGCCCCTCTGGTCCAGCTCTTGGCTGCCGGGAACTTGTCAGACAAAGAGGCCGTCCGTCTCCAGTGGACAGGGTGCCCAGGCAGCAGGCCAGTCTTTCCTGGGGAGGAGGGTCTCAGGAGGGGACCGTAGGTATGTCAGAGAGTCAGGGTCACAGGGGGGATGTCTGATGAACCTGAAGAGGCTGGAGTGGCCCCGAGATGGTGACCCCAGGACCTGACGTTTCTCAGCCCCATCCCTTCCCCACACTGCGCGGCCAGGAATGAGATGGCCCTCTGGGGAGGTGTCTGGAGCAGGTGGCCATCTGAGTGCGGTCTGCAGAGGTCCCTGTTCCTTGGACTTCTGGGTGGCCCTACCTGAGCCGTGCCCTCTGTCTCCAGGACTGTCCCCAGCTGCTGCGAGTGGACAAGATCCTGGTGCCCGTGGAGGTGATCAAGCCCATCACTCTGAAGGCCAAGAACCTTCCGCAGCCCCAGTCGGGGCAGCGTGGCTACGAGTGCATCCTCAACATCCAGGGCGGCGAGCAGAGGGTGCCCGCCCTGCGCTTCAACAGCTCCAGCGTGCAGTGCCAGAACACCTCCGTGAGTGCCCCCGCCCGGGTTCAGGTCCCCCGTGTCACCCCTCTGGTTGCTACTATAATAACTGTACTTGGAGGTGTGATCTGGGACCAAGAGAAACCCAAAGGACTTCACAAAAACACCCGCCACTTCCAGTGCTCTAGCGGGGAATAGGGTTCAGAAAGGTCAATCTACTTGCCCAAGTTTGTTCAGCATTAGAGGGGCCGAACTGATTTCCCAACCTCCAGAGCCCCAGATGTGTCCCCACTGCTTCTCAGGCATACCTCCTGCACCTCCTCTGGCAGCCAAGCTATTTTTCTAGATTAAACCTCCAAGCAAAGGGGAGACTAAACATCTCCTGCTTCCTCACAAATCCTGAGGCTCAGCAGACCAGCCCCAAGGGTTTGGCCAAGTAATCCCCCCCCCCGCCCCCAAACAAGAAGGGCCCAGTGGAGACAGCAAGCCTGGGCCCACGTTCCCTTCAGCAGGTACAGGAGGCGGTTTCTGACTGCGGAGAAAACAGCCTCTTTTCCTGGAAGATGCTGCCCCAGGGGTCTGGGAGGTGCCAGGACCAAGGACAGAGTCTGAGGCCACAGTTCCCAGAGAGTCGGGCACAAGTGTCCCGAGGTGCTCATGGGCCCCCTGCTGAGGCTGAGGGACAAGTGTCCCAAGATGCCTCATGGGTCCCCTGCTGAGGCTGAGGGACAAGTGTCCCAAGATGCTTCATGGGTCCCCTGCTGAGGCTGAGGTGGTTAAACAGATGGAGGAGACCAGATAAAGGCCTGAGTGGGTCCTGCACACCATGTGGCCAGGACTCCCTTGGTGCCCTGGAGACTGAGCGTCCAGGAAGCTGGGTGGGACCCACTGCGTCCTGTTTCCTGTGGAATTAGAAGGAATTTTGGAATATGCTCAGCATTCTCTCGAAGACAGCTGCCTGACCCAAGGAACCCACAGGGGTCACAGGGGGTGAAACCAGAACCTGCCAAGGACAAGGGCACAAAGTGTATCTCCATTTCCCCAGACAGGAGAGCCCCATTTCCTCCTCCCTCGTGGGATCCCATGGGGTTCGAAGTACAGGTGCCCCAGTCAGCACCTGTGGGAACAGGACAGGGATAATTTGGCATCAGGTATTTATAGAATGCATTATATCATCAGGCAGATATAGACCTGGCAGAGTATCTTTGGATCCTGTTAACAGAGAAGACTCTAAGACACAGAGAGGGCAAACGGCCATCCCCAGATCACACAGCAAGTAAAGTGCAAATTCAGAATTTGAACCCATAGTTTTCTAAGATACCTCTTCATCAAAGCTTGGGAAAAAATACAAACAACCACCGTGCAGAACGTCATTCCCAGCTTTGGTGTTAACCTGGGCGATCTCTAATCAGCCCAAGGGAGGATTGTGTAGAACAGATTTTCTCCTGTTTTAAATCCATGAGCAATGCAAAGCTGCTGTGTGATTGGGGGATGGGGTGGAGAGACATCCTTGGCTTTATGATGGCAGAAGGAGGTGGGTGACAGAGGTCTCAGAGCATAGCAAAGGAAGACCGGAACAATGCCATGTGAAATTGTGGGCATCGCGCTGGGCAGCCCCACTATTTAGGGACCGGCCCTGGGCCAATGGCTGCAGGCCTAGGGGCAGGGAAGGAGAAGTGGGCGGGCCATAGCATCCCAGCTGCGGGAGGGAGCCACTGCGGGTGTGCCTGGCCTACTTTAGACCCAGACTCCTGGAAAAGGTCAAGTGCTGCTAATAATAGAGCCTGCAGCCTCCCCTAAGGCCTGGCTAGCGCAATCGAGGGGCTGTAAAGGGCATCTGGTCAGCAGGCCTGGCGCTCCGGGCCCAGCTTCCACCTGGCGAGGGCCTCACATTCTCCAGGCACTTGAATTGACCATGAGAGGTGGGGAAGGGAGCGTGTCCCCTTCCTGCTTTCTGGGACCTCCACCGAGACCCGCCGAGCCCTGGGGAGTCTGAGAGAGGGACTGGCATCTTATATGCCGTGATGTTGTTGGGTCTTGTTCATTCCAATGGCAGAACTTTCCAGCAAGGTATCTCCGAGCTCAGGACAAAGGAAGACTCAGAAGCAAGAATGTCTCAATTATGTAGAGTTCTCCTCTGTCTTAGACGGGAGAGAAGCTGCGGGTCCCACTTTCCTGAGGTAATGGGTAGAGTCATCCATTAGCCTGGCCGTGGTGGACCAGACCGTGATTGAGACACTTAACCTCCTGGCCTCCGGGAGCCCGTGACCTGTCCTGCCCCGCTGCAGTGCTGGGCTTTGTGCAGATTAACTGTCTGCTGATTACAGAGAGCTATATAAATGCTAAGTGGAGTGGAGGGGAGTGAGTCTGGGGGATGGGAGGCAGGGCTCCAAGCTGTCCAGTGTTGAAAGAGACAGCACCCGCCCGCCAGCTCCCGCAGGGTTGCAGGTCATGCTGGGAGAGAGAGGGCCTCCAGAATGACAGTGACTTCCCTAGAGACCCAGGAGGCGGCGGCGAGCACCCGGGGTTAATGACTTCTACCATCTTTCATAGTTGTGATCCCAGAAATGGGGGAGAGAAAGAGAAAGCCAGGCCCAACATGTTGGATCCTTTAAGTCCCTGTGATTTTCAATTTTCTTTGAAAGGAAAAATGCATCCACATGTGCACACACACGCACACCAAGACCACACGAGCATCCTCACAAGTGTCTGGCACACAAGTGTCTGGCACACGGCCACTCGATGAATAGGTGCTGTTTTATTCACAGACACATAAACACAGGCAGCAGGGACACCATGGTACACGGCATCCCCAGGTGTGTACACACACACACACACACACACACGTTAAAATACATAATGATATTTGGGAGCCCAGACTGTGTGACAGGCCAATGCTCACGGTAATTCTTGGAGGTGCGTACTGTTTCTTAATTCTCACTGTGCAAATGGAGAACCTGAAACTTGGATGATGTGCTCACATTCACGCAGCCAGTTACAGCCAGATCTGCTGTGTGGCTGTGTGTTTGTGTGTGTGTGTGTGTGTGAGAGAGAGAGAGAGAGAGAGAGAGAGAGAGAGAAATGGGGTGGGGGGAGTACGCATTTAGGGCCATACAGATAACACAGCCATACGCACTGAGCCTTTCCCAGATCAGCATGGTGTGCCCAGATCTTGGCACGCATGCGCATTCATTTTTTTTCCCTTCCTTCAGGGATTTCATCCTTCCAGAGAGGGGTCTGAGGGTCCATTCACAGTTGACTGACTTGTCCCCAGTCATCCCATGCTGCTTCTAGTTTGGGTCCCAGTCAGACCAGGTCTGAGAGGCAGAGACGGGGCTCCAGTCCTGACCTAGCGACCAGCAGCAGCCCTCCAGGAGCCAGAGCCCTACTGCTCCTCCTCCTGGGATCCCGAGGCCAGGACCCCCTCTCCCACTGGGGCCTTCCTGGGAGGGAGGTGCAAAGCTGGGAGGAGGTGAGAACCTGGCTGGAGGAGGAAGGAGGCCTGCAGTGCTCTGGCTCCTTCTCCCACACACCTGCCCTCCGCGGGGCCAATCTCCTGCCTCCCTGCCATTTGCAGATGGGATTCTCAAACTATAGTCAGCACCAGAACCACAGAGGTGCTCTCTCAGGTTTGTTTGGGGTTTTGTTTGTTTGTTTGTTTGTTTGTTTTTACACTGTTTAAGTCTATATAACAGCTTGTCTCGTGGAGGAAAGAACACAGGAATATGTTAGAATCTCGTGCTATAGCAAGCTCAAATTGTGTCAGACAGTTTTGGTCGTCTGCCACAGAGTGTTGCTTGCAATAGGTGCTTTCCTGAAACGTTCTCCGTCTCCAGAGAGTCGAATTTAGCAGATCTATGGTGGAACCTTGGGATCTGCATCTTGGAGTCATTAGTCTACTCTGTGTGGTCAGAATTTTATGAGAAAACTGAGGACGACTTGGGGTGACCCAGCTTGGCCCAGATGTGGAGAGTTAACCTCTGGAGAGTTGATTACAGCAGTTCCCCTCTCCCCCCCACACACACTGTATACATAGTTGCTCTTTCCATGGTATCTGTCTAAAATATTATATGGAAAACTTCAAAACTAAATAATTTATAAGTTTTAGATCATATGCCTTTCTGAATAGCATAATCAAATCTCAGGTCTTCCCTCTCCAGCTCACCTGGATGTAAATCATCCCTTTGACTTGTGTGTCTATGCAGTAAATGCTACCTGCCTGGTAGTCACTTAGTATCCCTGTTGGTTATCAGCTGGACTGATGGATGAGTTCTCAGTTGAATTATTGAGGGATCGAGAGAGATCACATTAATATACTTTTTATTATAATACATTGTTTTATGTTCTATTTTATTAGTTAATATTGTTAATTTATTGCTGGGCCTCATTTATAAATTAAACTTTATTAGAGGTATGTATCCATAGGGGGAAAAATATATATAAATCAGGTTTGGTGCGATCTGAGGTTTCAGACATCCCCTGGGGCTCTTGCAAAGTATCCCCTGTGATAAGGGAGACTAAACTGAGTTACGTAATGATCAAAGTCCCTGCTATAACTTCTGCAGGATGGAGGCAGGAGGTGGGGGGCGGGGGGCCTTGCTTTATTCTATGGGCCCAGGTGGCCTCAGTCACAAGAGGGGTTTTGCGTGTATGGTACACTGCAGACCACCTCCGTTGTGGGAAAGACTATGAACGTGGCTCCTGGGCTGGGGATATGTTAGCAGGGCATTTTGTGTACAAGAGTAGAGCCTGAGGAAACCTAGACACACATCTGACTTACGTTGTTTAGGAGAATGTCATAGCATATTCACATTGTGGAACATTTTGTAACTCGGGGACTCAGAAATTTCTACCATCTCGGGGAGATTATGCCATCTCCTTAGTCGCTTTTTCAAATAAGCTGTAGACTTATTCTTGGCCAGAGGTGGAAGCATTGACTCAGGCCCCTGAGATTCTCCCCAGGCTGAATTCCCAGTGCCTGTGGCTGTCACCTCCTCCTCCTCAGAGAAGGTCTGCAGCCAGCTTGGAGGAGGGAGAGTATCAATTACCTCCCATGGTGTCCCCCAGCACCCTCCCCAGCCCAGACCCTCCAAACCCTAAGTATTGAGTTTAATAAGTCCGTTGGCTTTGCAAACACAAGTTCAAAATAAGTCCCCTGGCTGAACCCCTTTCAACCAATTGCCAGCCCTCAGCCCCTCTTGTACAGAAAATCTGTCTCAGTTCCTTTCTTCATCCCACCGCCTGTGGCGAGCAAAGTCTGGAGGAATGATGAGAAAATCACCAGGTAGGGACTGGAAATGCTGCCCCGAGCAGGCTTTGCTCCCCTTTGCTCACCTTCTTTCTTTGGGCCCTCAGCAATGCGTCTTGTCCTAGGGCAGAGCAGGGACTGGCCTGCCTGGGGCTGCCCCTGTGACTTCACCCTGAGCCAGGCCCACCCTACCTCACTCTCTTAGCCATCACCCAGCCAGGGGGGCTTCAGGTCCTGAGGAGAGCCAGGTGGGGGACAGGATGAGGAGCCCCTTGCAGGCCCAGGAAGCTGGGCCGTTGCCTGGCTTTAGAGTATCGCCCAGATTCCGAGGCTGGGGTCCCTGCAGGATTTTCCACCCCTCCACTCTGAAGCTCCCATCTGGTCCTCTTCTGTCATGTTCTCAGACTCTGGTCCCCTTAAGAGTGCAACCCCCTCATTCCTGCTCTCTGCAGCTACCCCCCCTTCCTGGTTAGACTTCCTGGGGAAAGCCCAGGTGGGTAGGACCCACAGGGGTAGGAAAGGGCTCCATCCAGCCTTCTCCTGGAGCCAGTCGCACAAGTCGGCTCCCTGCTCTGTCTTCCACACCCTCTGCTTGCCCACACTGCCCATTCACACTGCGCATGGGAGTTACACACATACACGTGTGTATGCAAACAAGGTCCTGGCCAGTTCCTGGCCTGTGGACCCCTGAGGGCCTGAGGATGAGTCTTCAGGCCTCCCTAGAGATGTCTCTTTTCTTCCTGGCCTGGCTGCAGTATTCCTATGAAGGGATGGAGATCAACAACCTGCCCGTGGAGTTGACGGTCGTGTGGAATGGGCACTTCAACATCGACAACCCAGCTCAGAATAAAGGTGTGTGTGGGGGGGCAGGGACCTGGGGGATGGAAGCCGGGGTGGGGGCAGAACAGAGGGCTCTTGGGCAGGTTTCATTATGCCCCCGGCTCCTCGCCGCTGTCTGTCTCCCTAGGGCTCTGAGCCCTTCCTTTGCCGCCTTGCCACCACCCACACTTCCCTGTTCCTTCTTGGGCACTGGCTGGTGGCTTCAGGGCAGGAGTGGAGTGAGTGAACTTGCTGAGCAGAGCTGCCGAGTGAATGGAGACCCCGCAGCCCCCTGTTGACTCCTCTGTGCAGGCCTAGGCTGCCTTGTTTGTCTTCTCTGTGTGGCTAAGGGGACGAAGTTGCCCTTGGGTCCCCTCACTCCGTCCCAGGCTGGGACTGACCTGCTCCCTGGCTGCCCCCTTCCCTCCTCCCATCTGAAGCCTCTTGCCCTTGCCCTCCGCAGTCTACCTCTACAAGTGCGGGGCCATGCGGGAGAGCTGCGGGCTGTGCCTCAAGGCTGACCCAGACTTCGAGTGTGGCTGGTGCCAGAGTCCAGGCCAGTGCACCCTGCGCCAGCACTGCCCTACCCACGAGAGCCGCTGGCTGGAGCTCTCAGGCGCCAACAGCAAGTGCACAAACCCCCGCATCACAGAGGTGAGCCTGAGTGGGCATGTGCCAGGTCGCAAAGCCGAACCCTGGAGGGGGAGCTGGGGGGCCCTGATGACCCCACCTGGACATGGTGCCAGTCACCACCAGGTGGACACGGATGCTCTGGCTGGCTGGGTGCATCCTCAGTTTCCTTCCCAGCTTCCCCAGAACCTTGTTCAAAGCCCCTTCCCTTTCCAAGGGAGTCGAGGGGCCTCACTGTCCAGCTGGAGTCTCCACGTGGAATGGGTTGGAAAGGACACAGTCCTTGTCACCCCCTCCCTGAGTCTCTGTGAGTCTCTGTGGCAAGGCTGGGAAGCTTCTAAATTGCAGCCAAAGAGTAGAGGCTGCACAGGATTCCAAGGGGCAGAGCCCAGCCCTGGGTGGGGGGGACAGGTGGCCTTGGAGAAGACTCAGGACTCACCCAAAGCAAGATATGAACTATAGGAGCAAAACCAGATTTGGGCACAGTTCAGGAGGGCCTAGGGGTGCAGGCCTTAGAGCCAAGACCCAAGAAAGGAGGACAGGGCAAGGCTAGATGTGAGGCTGTGGATCTGGGCTGCCAGGTGACTGCTAGGTGCCTTGGGGCTATGCATCAGCCCCTCCATGCCTCCCCTTCCTCTCCTGTGTTGCCACAGGACAGTTACGAGGAGTGCTGAGCATACACTGTGCATGTCCAGTGCTCCCCAGCTCCATGCTGAGCCCTTGGAATCTCTGGCTTCTCCCGCCTCCTTGGTCATCCCCATCATATGAAAATCACTGCAAGGATGTCTAAGCCCAGGAAATCGCTGGCCCCATGGTTTATGTAGATAGCTATGTCTCCTTACCGCCCCACTCACACTCTTGGCAGAAGGTCCCCCTTCCTGCTGAGGCTGGAGTTTCTTGTACCTCCCTTAAAATCAGGAGGAGAGGTGCATGTCTCTACTCCTCAACAATGGGACCAGGTCTCCTAGCCGTGTTCCTAGCACCCAGCCCAGCTCCTTGGCTTGTGGGTGGCTGTCTTCCCCCTATATACCTTATCATCATTCTTCTTCTACTCATGCCTCTGTCCCTGCTGCCCTTTTTTATGAGGACGCCAATCAAATTGGACTGAAGTCCACCCTGATGACCCTCCCCCTTTAAACTAGATAACCTCTGTGAAAACCCTACTAAGGGATTATTAGGATTATTCCACATAGGTATTTGTGGGGGAGGTGGGGACACACATAAATGCTCCATACTTGCCAAGGCCAGGGTTGCTATCACCCTTTCCCAGACAAAGGGACCCAGTGCTCAGAGGTGCATATTTGCTCTGACCACAATGTAAAGAAAATGTCCCTGCTCCCAGGTCTCCGGAGCGCTGGGTTACCATCCTCCAGTGCGCACCCACTCACAAACCACGCACACCAGGCACGTGTCAGAGCACCAAGGGTCTCGGCTTTTGTGAATGAACAGCCTCACCCAGCAAAGTGGCTTCCCAACGTGCCCCTTACTCTCCACCTTCCTGGTCTGCACACTGGGATTCGCTCTCAGCTCTGCTTCCGTTTCCTGAGTGGGGAAGAATCTAAACAATGCTACCAGGAGGGGGATGAGAATATTGGCACCTTGAACCTGCAGACCTGGAGCAGGAGGGCAGGTGGACACCCCTCTATTGACTGCCCCTGGCCCCATACCCAGGCCATGCCGTCTGCTCTCCTCCACAGCCCACCCCACCCTGCACCCCCTCCGAGGAGCTGCCGCTACCATTCCCTTAATGAGAAGCCCTCCCTGGGGCTGTGGTGCGTGGCGACTCATGGTGTGTTGGGCCCAATTGGTGTGACTAGCTTTCTTCTTGGCCTGGGTCCAAGAAAATCACAGGGAAGAGACAGCAAATTAAACAGATCTCCTGCGAGGGAGGCTGTCCCTTCTCCCATCCTGGCGTCCATCCTCCAGGGAACCTGCACTGGGCAGAGATAAACCTCCTTTTACGGGATGACAGGTCAGCGCGGAGTGTCTGTGGACAAAGCTGCCAGGCACCAGGGGTGTACTAGGGACCCACCATCTGGGCAGGCACCGGGGAAAAACCTAGATGCCCCCCACAGAAATGGGCCCGTGCCTCCCAGAAGGCTCTTTTCCCACTCCAGTGGGGCCACGCTATGTGAACCGTCACACCCACGTGCAAGCTCGCTCACAGACACGTGTGCTTGCGTGGGGGAAGCACAAGCTGCCGTCCTGTCAAAGTTGCCACTCAGGGACAGCCCAGCCTAGGGTCTTCTGCTTCCCCAACTTTACTCCCACCCCAAGAGGGAGCATCAGTTGAGATCCTTGCTTGATGGGAACAGGAGAATGTGCTGCGCTAGAGGGTCCCACTGTTCTGCTGGGCCATGACCCACACAGGACTCAGAGGCCCCGGAGTGGGAAGGAGTCTGCTCTAGAATATGAACTACAGGAGGTCACAGTGGCCCTTGTTAACTGAACTTCAGCCCCTGCCTCAATGCAGGCCGTTGGTGGTGGAATCCTAACCTTCCACCCTGGGTTTTAACACCAACGGTGACGTCACTGGGAAAGCCAGCTGTTTTGCCCAGTGTTCCAGGATAATGTCTAAATTAAACCTGTCTCCAAGAGAAACCAAGCCAAACCATGAGGGCAAGCAGTGACAAATGCTCCGATGATTCCAGAAAGAAGCTGAACTTGGTGTGGTTTTCAACATAGCCGTAATCCACAATATGGTGCTGCCAGTAACAAGGCCACCGAACAGTGAGAGTTGGTCCCTGCTCCCAGAGACACAGGGTCTGAAAGGAGGGGCAGGGCATCTAAAGGATGAGAAACCAGACACAAGCAATCCTTGTCATGAAATAGCAAAAGGAGCCTTGGAATTTTAGGGGGGAGTGAGGGGGGGCATCTGGATATGGGAAGGTGGCATTTGAGAAGAACCTGCAAAGGTGGGTGAAATGATCCTAGGTGGGATGGCTGATAGGAGGATTTTATTTTCCTTGAGAGTGGAACCAATATCAGAAAATTCTAGAAGGCTTCAGTGCTGATTTTCTGTGAATTACCCAGTGACAATGCAGTCACTTTCCATCCCCTCCTCTCTTCTGTGGGATGGGAAGATGTACCAGGGACTTTGAACCCAGCTCCTAAGACCATGCACAAACCCTGACTGCTGTGTCCAGGGCCTTGGCCCATTGGTAGCCCCAGATCTCAGGTGCCCCTGTGGATTGGACCCATCAAGGAATCAGGCACCACTGAGAGAAGAGCTGGTCACACCCCCCAGTCCCACAAGCAAGGGAGTGGCTGTGCTCTTAGGCCCTTACAATCATTCCTCTTCCCTGCAGATAATTCCAGTGACAGGCCCCCGGGAAGGGGGCACTAAGGTCACCATCCGAGGGGAGAACCTGGGCCTGGAATTCCGGGACATTGCCTCCCATGTCAAAGTGGCCGGTGTGGAGTGCAGCCCCTTGGTGGACGGCTACATCCCTGCAGAACAGTGAGTGAAAGCCACCCGAGGTGTGGGGACAAGCAGGAGGGGAGGGAGGAGCAGTCAGTGCAGAGCACCCCTTGTCCAAAACGTTTGGAGCCAGAAGTGTTTCCAATTGGGGATTTTTCGTGTTGTGCAATATTTGCCTGTACATAATGGGATATCCTGGGAATAGGACCCATTTCTAAACAGGAAATTTATTTATGTTTTATATATAGCTTAGACACAGAGGCTGAAGGTTTATGCGATATTTTAAGTAATTTTATGCATGAAACAAATTTCATGGTGTGGAATTTTCTACTTACGACCTCATCTCAGCAGTCAAAGCTTTTCACATATTGGAGCATTTCAGAATTTGGATTTTCAGATTAGGGATGCTGCCTTAGGAACAACTTGTTCACCGATGGACGGTCTCAGACTGTGGTGGAAGAAAAGGAAGACAACCCTAACATTCTAGGGTGTGGGGTAGCTCCCCAACTCCCCACCATCTGCAATAGCTAGCTGCCAGAACAGCCCAGCAAACACCACTATGAAGTGTGTACCAGCACAGCGGAATCTGTATGCCACGCCATCTTACTGCCCCTCCTGGAGGGTGACCTTACCACCCATCCTATGTGCATCAGTTATTGTCTCTTGGCAAGGTCCCCCTTAGGTACATCAGTGCAGTTAGCAAATCTGCAGGCTGGGTCTTGCCTGGATTTAGTGATTCCCAACCACCAGTGCTGCTGTCTTCAATTCCTCCTGATTTCCATCAGGGGCTTCCCAAGGCGTTCAGAGCAGACATGATGATTTATCACTCCAGTTCTCACCTCCTGGCCTATCCTTGCACAGTTACCATACAATCTTCCTATGACTCCTACAGCTTTCTGAGACCTTCCTAGAACCAAACTGAAGCAAGTTCCTACCAATATGTTGTGATTTGGTAAAGTATCATCTCCCCTACTTTGGGTCTACATAACATATCGAAAATGTTTTTATAGAGTCACATGATTAAAATACTCTGATAGTAGTTAGATCCATGGAATAAGATAAAAGACCCAAGATAAGAATCCTGATAATACAAATTTAGTATGTGATAAAGGTGACATTTCAAACTGGCAAGATCATTCAATAAATGATGCTGATTAACACCCTGAACAAAGTACAATATCAGGTGCTTATTTCACAGTACACACCAAAAAAAATTTCAGATGGATTAAAGAATTAAGCATAAAAATGTAACTGTGAAAGGATTAGAAGAAAATACAGGTGAGAATTTATTTGATTTCAGGAAGGGGAAGATGATCTAAGTATCGCTGCAAAAGAAGACATAGGTTAGGGGATTTGAGTACATAAAACTTTAAAATTGAACATTAAAAATTACTGTAGGCAAAATAAAAATGCAAATGATTATATTCATTTAATTAAAAATATGAGATAGTATGTCCTTTCATGATTAAATTATTTAATTAGAAATATGAGATAGTATGTCCTTTCATGATTAAGAGAGTTTTCTTAACATATAAAAAAGTGTTATAAATAAAAAGGCAAATATCAGAAAATGAGCAAAGAACGTGTGTGTACTTTTAAGATGTACAAAGAACCCAAAAGCATATGAAATGCACATTAAAACAATGAAAAACAATTACAAAAGGTCAATATTCATTGTAGATTCAAGGCATAGGAAGTGACAGTCTCATGTAATCCTAGTAGGAGGGTAAATTGGGACAGAATTTCTAAAAGGCAGTTGGAAATATGGGTCAAAAGTCTTCAGGTTGGTACCACACTTCTAGAGCTTTCCCTAAGTAACCAGACTGCTCTGAGTGGTGCAATTTGCAGGGAAGGGATTGTGTACATACAACACATGCTTTTATGTACTTTCCATATTTTCTTATACCAAGAAGATATTAATTACAGTATCAAGACAGAAAGTTATGTGTTTTTGCCAGACATTTCTTCAGAAGTTCTTTCTAAGAGAAATATAAAACTTAAAACTTAGAAACTACAAAGTAAAAAAACAACCAATTTAACCAATTTAAACTTTAGTGTGGCCAAAAATATTGGGGAAAAAGGTGAAAAATGACCAACAGCAGAAAATAATTGCAATTTTCATAACAGACAAAAGTTAATACTCTTAGTTCAGAAGTTTCTACAAAAGATAACTCAGCTGTAAAAGAGAGAGCTTCAACAGAAAAATTCAAGGGAGGCCATGTAAGATCAAAACCAGACAAAAAAATGTGCAGCCCAACTAGTAATCAGGGACATCAAAATTAAAATGAGATATTTCTTCCCTAGTAGATTGGAAAATTTTTTTTCAAAGGATTGATGATATCTAGCATTGGCTAAAAGAGGGGACCACCAACAGCAGTGTAAATTGGCACAGCTTTTCTGGAGCATCATTTGATTCTACCATCAATGTTTCTTGCATAAACCATTTAACCCAGCAAACTCCCTTCCGAGAAGCCTATTCTAATAAATGTATGACACACACAAATGCGGATATAAGTTCACTCATTTTGTAGCATTCTTTGAAGCAGAAGAAAAAAATCAGGATAATTAAATGTCCATCAATAGGAAGAAGGTTACATAAATGATAGTACATCCATACAAAATACCGCAAAGCTGTTAAAAAAAATAAAGCATATCTATGCATATAGGGACATGAGGGAGAAAGTCTATACTGTACTGTTGGGTAAAAACAGAGGTATAGAGAAGAGTGAGCATACAGTGTTTTGCTTTTATCCTTAAAAGCATGTTTCTATATATTATAATACATATATATGTACATAATTGTATATATGTGCGTATATATATTACTTATGTTTATGTGTGTGCATGCATATAAAACATTTACATTTACACACAAAGCATATGTAAATGCACGTTTCTTGGGGTTCATGCCACTTTGGTTCCAATACCCCCTGCAGATACCTGAGTTTGTGGATACTCAACTCCCTTCTGTAAAAAGGCATGGTCTTTGCAACAGGCATCCTCCTTTTTACCTTAAATCTCTTTTAGATTACTTATAGTACCTAAAACAATGGAAATACTATGTAAATAATTCTTCTACTGTATTGTTTAAGGGAAAAGACAAGAAAAAAGTCTGCACATGTTCCATTCAGATGCAATTTTGGGGGGAATATTTTTGATCCACAGTTGGTTGAATCCGTAGCTGTGGTCCATGGATACGGAGGGCTAACTATACATATTTGGGCAAGCAACATAGCTTTTCTTCTTTTTTTTAGCGGGGGGTGGTGTGGGTGGAGAGTACTAAGGATTGAACTCAGGCTCTTGACCACCGAACCACACCCCCAGCCCTATTTTGTGTTTTATGTATTTAGAGACAGGGTCTCACTGAGTTGCTTAGCACCTCGCTTTTGCTGAGGCTGGCTTTGAACTCACGATTCTCGTACTGCAGTCTCCTGAGCCACTGGGATTACAGGTGTGTGCCACTGTGCCTGGCCACGACCTAGTGTTTTCTGTGCCTCAGTTTCTTCACTTATAAAATGGGGAATATGTGTGTGTGTGTTTGTATATGTGTGTGTGTGTGTGTGTGTATAAAAGATATAAGTATAAATATGCATGTCTCCAAGGAGATATACACACACACACACACACACACATTATATATACATATACGCATACACCCATATATACACACAGACATATATGTATGTATATATACTCCCCAACATACACACACATACATCTCTCTGTCCATCCTGGCAGTTGGGTTGACTGGGAGCAGAAAGTACATCACTGAGGCAGCCCAAGCACTGGGCCTAGGGAGCTCCCAGATGAGGGCCTGAGAACCTTAGGTCAGCACCAAGGTCTGTGTCTGACTTGCTAGGGGCCCGTGGGTAGGTCATTGCACCTCTCTGGGCTCTGCCAGCTGTTTCCTAAACTGTTTAGCTAAAACTTTGCCACCACTCTCCAAACCATCGAGAGGCCAGACATGAATTAAGGGCTAAGTGTCTGGGATCAGAGTTACTCAGACCCTCTGCAGGATCCTTCAAAAGGTTCCCAGTTCCTGAGAGTCAGGAGGAGCCCCTGAAGGGGGCAGCCAGACGCCTCCCACCCCCTCCCTGCTGGTCCCTGAGATCCTACTCAAAGTGAGTAGCTCTGCAGGGGCTGCAGTGTCCAGGGTCAGGGCCGGGGGCTCGTGGCTCATGGGGTCTCTCCTGTCCTCTGCAGGATCGTGTGTGAGATGGGAGAGGCCAAGCCCAGCCAGCACGCGGGCTTCGTGGAGATCTGTGTGGCTGTGTGCCGGCCGGAGTTCATGGCCCGCTCCTCGCAGCTCTATTACTTCATGGTGAGTGCTGCTGGCCACACACATTTCACAACCATCATGGCTGGGCCCCCTAAAACTCTCTAGAACTCTGGGCAGATGTGGGACAAGGGCTCCCTGCAAGCCCCCCGGCATTCCTGTAGCCATGGAAGCACAGACTTTGATGTCCACAAGACCCAGTCTGAAGTCCAGCTGAGCCTGGAGCCTGGCTCCTGGCGCCAGGTCAGCTGCTGGAGCCCTGGGGGTCCCCGGGTTCCTTTGTGGCTGAATGGCTGGGTCACACTGCAGGTGGTACTGTCGGCACATGGCCACTCGGTCTCTTCAGTTATAAAATGGGGACAATGATAGCATCTGTGAAGATTGCATCCAATCTTCCTATTCCTTCTAGTATCATTTCCTTGATGATTATCCTCCATGATTGCCACCATTACTGCTGGGCCCTGGCCTTCCCCTGTCCACCCCGGCCCCATTATGCCCCGCCCTCCACCCTCCCTCACTGTCACCCTGCCCTCCCTCCTCCAGGTCCTTCCCTAGCCCTGCAGCTCCTCTCCCCACTCCCACCTGCACACCCACGCCATCTCCTTCCCCACACCCCACCCGCCCACCCCTGTCCCTCCCATGGCCTCTCTGCAGATCTCAGTGCAGGCCACTGTCCTGGAATCCCCTGCAGCCTGAACCTTCCTGTCCCGGCAAGGGCTGCCTGGCCAGTGGTTTGGGGGGATGCAGGGACCTCTGCAGATCTCTTGGCTTTGTCATTAAGGGGACGGTGGAGACAGGAGCACATCACATGCCGGGTCACACACGCCCATCGTTTCCCAATCCAAACTTCTCAGGTTAATGACGGTGGTGAGGTTGGGATTTCCTCGGGATTCGGAGCTGCTTTGGGCAACTGGAAACCTGGGTGATGGGTTTTCCTGTCTGGGCACCGAGTACTCTGAAGTGCTATGGGGATTCTGCGTTCCCTCCCCCCTCCTGCCTTCCCTCCCCCCTCCTTCCCAGCCTGTCTTCCTTCTCCCCCTCCCTCCTTCTTCCTGGTCCTTCTTCCTTCTCCCTTCACCTGGCAGCCATTTATGGCCCTGCACAGGGCCTCTTGCTAGATTTTCTGATTGATACTTGTTTGATCAAGTTCACATTCTGATAATTGGATGGTCCTGGCTACGGGGGCTTCAGAGACGCTTGATCCTGGCACAACCCATCCCCCCCCACCCCGATGTCCCAGCCTAGATGGGGGGTGCAGGACTCTTCATGCACAAGGACTTGAGGACAGACTCCGATTTGACAGGGCAGGGCCTCAGATAAAGGCGGCCCGGACGCCCTCCCCACCTGGCCTGCCGCAGCTCCTCCCCAGCCCCTGCTCTGGGAAGCCAACCTCCCTCCTGGACACCAGTGGCTGTCACTCAATACGCACAAGTGACACCTGCCAGGTATTGGGCATGAAATGTGGCTCTGACTGCCACCTGGCAGCCAGGAGAGGAGGGAGTGAACCACTGCAGGCCACGGGAGCCCGGGCTTCCCCCGCCAGTCAGCTGGCCAGATCCTCCTTGCCCTGTGCCCCTTGTCAATGGCCCTGGGACGGCCGACAGGACCAGAGCAGCCTCCACCTGTCCAGGCCCCTGTGGGCTTTGGACTTCTGCTGCCCGTGCCGAGTGCCTCCTGGGATCTCTCACCTCAGTGACCTGCTCAGAGGACATGGCAGCTATCATGTCCCTGTAGCCCAGACAGGCTGTCATTCCCCACGGACCTGTGTCCTCTGCTCTTGCCTGTTTCTGCTGGTGGCCTGCCCCTGGCAGCCCACACTCTGGGCTGGTCAACTGGTCCAGCTTCATTCCTGACATGATCCTCACCATGTCCTGGAGTCTTCCTCTTCCTGTTCTCTTTGTCCCCATGTGACCTCCTTAAATCTTTCCTCTGCCCTTGGTCTGAGCCCATCTTCCCCCATGAAAGAGCCTCTTATCCTGGGAGCCCCACCTGGAGGTTGCTGCTGCCTGTCAGGTGCCGTCCTGGATCCTAGATGGATTTCTGTGCCTCAGCACTGCCTGAGCCTCTTCCCTTCCCATCTCCTTTCCTGGTGGCACCAAGCCACCTCGTCCCCCTTTTCAGAGCCTGCCTGTGTCCCACTCCTTGGCCTCTGAATCTGTAGGCCTGTGCTGGGGAGGCCGCAGCCCCTGCGCTCCCCACCCTCACGGGGTCCTGGGCATCTCCAGCACAGCCCTCCGGTGGTTCAGCTTCTGGCCAGTGAGCCTGTGCAGGTGAGGCTGGGGCTTTATTTCTTTGCTAACACCTGGCGTGCGTGGGCACTTCTTTTTCCCTTTTTTTTTTTTTTTTTTTTTTCCTTTTTTTTTTTTTTTTTTTTTTTATACCAGGGATTGAACCCAAGGTGAGCCACTGAGCCACATCCCAAGCCTTTTTTTGTATTTATTTTGGAGTCAGGGTCTCATGCAGTTGCTCAGGGCCTCGCTAAGTTGCTGAGGCTGGCTTCGAACTCAAGATCCTCCTGCCTCAGCCTCCCAAGCTTCTAGGATTACAGGCACGTGCCTGGCAGTATGTGGGCACTCCTGACTTGACCGTGCTCATTACCCTCCAGACCCTAACCCAGATGCCCTTGCCCCTCCTAGTTAAGCCAGACTGCAAGCAGGATACAAGTGCTCCTTGGTCAGAAAGCTCCCCAGTGGCTCTAACCTGCAGCCCAGGCCGAGGATCTGACCAGGAGGGACCATGTTCATTGAGTAGCCACCACATTTCCTTTTGCTCTCCTCTCTGTCCTAACTCTTCTAAGAGCAGGCGTGGTAGACTTGGCCCCTCAAGCCCAGCCCTGCCTGCAGATCCTGTCTGACCTGGAGCAGGGTGTGGTGGAATCTAGGGCATGAGAGGAAGCCTCAAGCAGGAAGCTGTGGAAAGGCAGGGTTGGTCCCAGGCAGCTCCCCTGTGCATCTCGGGCAGAGGGCTTTCCCGGCACAAGGCTGACATCGTGACCAGAAGATGGGACTTGAGGGAGGGAAGAGAAGGGGCTGAGGAGGAGGAGAGAGGGAGCAGGGAGCCACCAGGAAAGCCAAGAACAACTCCCACAGGACAAACAGAACTAGGCTTGGTCCACTGGATCCTGGGCGCAAAGACGCTGCCACTTTCTATGGGGGGGACTCCTCTGGGGACCTGTCCTGGTGCCACATGTTCCCTGAGGAAGACGTCCGGGGAGGGGGACGTGCTAGAGGACCCAGCCTTCTGGAGCTGAGTCACAGAGCCCCCTGTGCAGGCTCCGAGGGTTCCAGGGGGATGAGGTGCCCGGGTCCCCTCGAGTCTCCTCACACCCATGAGAAGGGACACAGTCTTTCTCTGTCGCGCTTCCAGACACCCGGGGCTCTCGTTGCCTTCTGCTCAGCCAAGTGGCTTGTCGGGAACTCTCACCCCCGCAAAGGGCCTCTCCTCTGGAGGCCTGGGGCAGCCGAGATCTCTTCCCCAGGGGACCTGGTCCGTCGGGGCAGGTGAGGGCCACCCTTCTCAGTGCCCTTCCTCAGTTTCCCTGCACAACCCGGGCCGGGCTTTGATGGGTCATTCATTCACTCAAAATGCATAAAGGCCCAGGGCCCCTGTCACCAGCCCTGTCCCCGGGTCTCCAGACTGGGCATGATCTTCCCTTTTCCCTCTGCCTCCATTCAGGGATCTCGGTGAGGAGGTGGCACATGATGCCGAATTTGATTTCCTGTGCAAACCCACCGTGAAATATTTATGAAGCACGACCTGAATAATTAATAGTTTCTCACAACCCTAAACGCGGCTCCATAACAGCCCCTCCCCAGCCCTGAGTAACTGCCCCTCCAGACAGCCCCCAGCAGCTCCCCGGCGGTGGGGGTGACTCGCTCTGCCCCCTGGGGGGTGCCAACCCCAGGCAGTCAGGGAGGATGCATCCCAGCCCAGCAGAACTTCCCTGGGGGGTCCTACAGGCCTAGGACCCCCCACACACACACACCTGGAAGCCAAGTGCACGGACAGACAACCAGAGGTGTCTGCCTCCCTCCTTTCCCTCCCTCTCTGGGGAGGCCAGCAGCCCCCCCCCCTTACAGAGAGACAAAGGCCCCACTTGGAAAGGTGGAAGCTACTGCCAGTTAGTTACCCAGCAAGAAAGCCTTCAGGGGCCTCTTTGTGGCCCAGCCCCCTGACCTTATGATCAGAGAGGTTAAATAGCTTATCTCAGCTCACACAGCAGGAGCCAGACAGAGCTGAGCAGGAGAGCTCTTTCCACAGCCTCCATCTTGGTCCTTGCAAACCAAGCCCAGGAAGACCTAGGTCAGAAAGGGCCCGGGAGGACCTGGCTGAGGTCAGTGGGTGACCCCTGCCCTGGGACAGGGTGCAGGCCAGAGAGTGGCGGGGCATGCTCCCCCAGGCCTCCCCCAGGGTGTCACCAGTGGGAGGCCCCCCTAGGAGAGGCTGCCTGGGCTCAGGGGCCCAGTGGGTTCCACTTTGGTGTGGAATTCTTGAAGAGGGAGGTGCTTGGGGAAGGGAGAGAGAGATCTTCATTTAAATGCAGATGCAGGCCTCTCACCTGGGACTGGGAAAAGTTTTTCCATTAAAATGCTAATGAAAGAACAAACTGCAACTCCAAATCCCCAGCTGTCACGGGGCTCCCTTCCCAGCCCCCCTTCCCAGCCCGGCTCCCCAGTCCCTCCAGCAGGGGGCTGTGGGCAGGCCTTAGACACTGCTGACCCTTCGCTTTCTCTCATGTCCCACTTCTCTGGCCACTGAATGCCTGGCAGCTCTCTGGGGATGCCAGTGGAAGGGACAAGTCACCTTCCCCAAAGCAACAGAGGCTGCCGTTTGGAGAAGGGGTTGGGAACTAGAGCTCTGGAGTTGATGATGCTGCTTGCTAGCTGTGTGACCTTGGGAAAACTTACTTAACGTCTCTGGATATAAAGGTAAAAACATAAAGAAGGCTGGCACACCACACTGGCAGCTGTAATGATTGCTGTTATTAACACAGAGATGCAAATTCAGGGTCCCGGAACAGTGCCTATTTGTACAAGGATAAGAAGATCAGCTCTCTTAGAGGCCACCATCACCAAAGACTCCCGAGGGCAGCACTGGCAGGCATGGGGCCTTGGGAGGGTCCAGAGCCACCTCCACCACCAGCTGTGCCTGAGGCCGCATCCTTTCCTACACAGACGCTGACTCTCTCCGACCTTAAGCCCAGCCGCGGGCCCATGTCTGGGGGCACCCAGGTGACCATCACGGGCACCAACCTGAACGCAGGCAGCGATGTGGTGGTGATGTTTGGAAAGCAGCCCTGCCTCTTCCACAGGTAAGCCCCGGGGCCCGGGGGTGCGGTAGGACGGGTAACCCACTCCCATATCCAGCCCCAGGGAGACTTGGGGTTTCAGGAGAGTGGGGAGGGGCTGCCCAAAGCAGGGACTTCAGGACTAACTCTTGCTCCCTCCTAACAAAGTGGGCGCTCTCTTTGGGAGAGGTGGCTCCGAGTGTCAGGGATCCCTTTCCTGGACGGCCATCATGCTGCTGCCCACCACTCAGCCTGTGCCCCACGGCATCCCCTCTGCAGAGCCCTGGGCTGCCACAGAGCGCAGCTGGGAATCCCTCCCAGGGGCAGTACCCCCCCTCCCCTGCTCTGAACCCAGATAGGGCTCCCAAGAGCTGACTGGAGTAGCCTCCCAAAGCAGGTGACTGTCCTTCTTCTGTGTCACACTGGAGCCCAGAAGGGCATGCTCTTGCTGGGTCAGGTGGCAAGGCAGTACAAAAGGGGCAGGAAGTGCATCTTGGGAAGGACGGTGGAGGTGTTGGCTGGGTAGAGGCAGATGGAGGCAGAGAGGCCAGAGGCCTCCTTTCAGGATGCTGCGGAAGCCGTGGAGCCAGAGCCCAACTCCACACGCAGCAAAGATGGCCAGGGATGCACAGCCAAGCAGCCGAACCAGGCAGTCAAGGGTAGAGAAGGGGTAAGGCGACACAGGAGAGTCTCGCGGAACTGACCTCACAGTACAAAGGGGACAGGGATTCTCACCAGACCCAAGGACAAGTCCTACTGAAAAGTGGGCAAAAGCCTGGTCAAGGGCGGGGTCTCTGTCCCTGGTCCCTGAGCTTCACATGGGAGCAGCACTCAGCCCTTGAGGAGCCAGCCATGCGAGCGAGCGAGGCTGGCCCAGGACCACTGTCCCCCTCCACACCCGGGAGCCCAGAGCCCTGCCTCCCCCTCCAGGCGATCTCCGTCCTACATCATCTGCAACACCACGTCCTCCGAGGAGGTTCTGGAGATGGAGGTGACGGTGCAGGTGGACAGGGCCAAGATCCGCCGAGACCTGGTCTTCCAGTACGTGGAGGACCCCACCATCGTGCGCATCGAGCCCGAGTGGAGCATTGTGAGGTAGGCGCTGCCCCGAGCTCCCTTCCTGCCTCTGCGCCTCCGTCTCCCTGGCCCCGGGTCTCGGGAGCCAAGGAGGGTTCTGGGGGCCCAGTCCTGCTCTGGGGATTGCTGAACAGGGGTCGGCTCCAAGAACCAGCAAACGCGCCCACCCTCCTGCAGGGCTCCCTGCACCCTGGGGAGCTACCAGCATTCAGGGCCCATCTCTCCTTCCTTCCACTGCAGACTCCCGGGCAGAGAGTGGCCCTTGCTCTTTCCTTGCTCTTTCCTAACATCCAACCCTCATGCACCGGGTGGGTGACCCAGGAAGCAGGATCGGTTGCTGCCATAGAAAGGCCCAGGGCAGGGGTCAGGCCCTTCAGCCCTTCACCCTGGGCAAGTCGCCCTTCCTGGGTGGGCCTCCACCCCTTGAGGGATTGGCCTGGGGATCTGGAAACTCTGAGTCTCTAGTGTCTTGTGTGGCACATGCCACATCAGAGCCGAGCTGCCGGCAGACAGCACATGAGTCTGCTTTTCCAGTCCCGGAGGACACAGAGAGGAGCAGCTCTGCAGAGAGAGCCTTTCTGCAGGGCCCACAGAGCTCCCAGGAAAGCATTGCAGGGGGCGGGGACAGCAGTGTGGGGAACAGAACCAGGGCTTGGGGCTCAGGGCAGTGGGCTCAACCCAGCTCTGCTGCTTAGCAAAAAGTGACTTTAACCCTCCTGCCCTCCCTGAGGCGGGGCGCCTCTGGCCTCAACTTCCTCCCAAGGCAGCTGGGAGAAGGGAATGAAATGCAGACTCTGTGCGCAGCTTCCTGTCTGGCCCCTGCTCAGTGCGCATCCTTCCCTGCCTGCTCCAGCTTGGAGGGGCTGGGCTGGAGGGAGGAATGGGGACGAAGTGTTCTCCAGGGTTGGGGCAGTGAAGAGCCCCATCCAGGGAGCAGTCTCTAAGCCAGGGACCCCTGGGCTCCCCCTGGCTGCCACCAGCTTCTGTGAACACAGTTCTGCTGGACCACGGCCACTGTGCTGTCTGCAGCAGCTCTCTCACTACAGGGCACGGCCGAGTGAGACCACAGGGCCCGGGTGGCCTGTGGATTCTAGAATATTCCAGCCCTTCCAAAAAGAGCTCACCACCCACTGCCTCAGCCCAAAGGAAGGGCAGCTCGGCCGCTGAGCTGTGGCCGTCCCCGCAGTCCCTCGGTAAGGCCCACACCCCGATGCCATGATCTTGGAGCAGATAAAGGAGACAAGGCTCACAGAGAGGGAGCAGCCTGTGAAGGCCAGCAGGGCCTGACCCAGAACCTGACCCAGGACCTGACCCAGGGCCTGACCCAGGGCCTGACCCAGGGCCAGCCAGGCAGGGGGCAGGGGCAGGCTTCCTGCTCCCAAGGAAGCTCCGCCACTAGAGGATCCCCAGACGGCTCTCATCCAGCTCTTCCTCTTGTCATCGACCCAGAAGTACAGGTGACCTCCTCCCTGGTGTTCAGCAGCCATCCCCACGTCACACCCATATCAGGACAGAGGCTGGAGACATGTCCTGGGCCTACCAGCCGCTCCCCTGCGGTGACTCGGGTTAAGAAGTCTGAGGATGGGGTTGGGCTCTGCACTAGGCGTCCCTCTGGGAAGTGACAGGGACATGTGCAGCTGCATGTGGAATTGGTGACTGACAAGATGGAGTGTGTGTGTGTGTGTGTGTGTGTGTGTGTGTGTGTGTCTGTCTGTCTGGAAGTTCAGCTGGGCAGATGGATAGATGGGCAGAAATCAGTGTGGGGGTGGGAGCTGAGGACCCTGATCCGCTGAGTTCATCATGCTCCCGCCGCTGGGAGACAGGCTTCCTTGCTCTCCCTGGGGCGGCCCCCAAGGAGGACAGCCAGCAGAGAGCTGTGCCCACCCCTGCCAGCTTCTTGGCCTCCTGGAGACAGTGGCATCTTTCAGAAGCTACACCCAGATGAATAGCCTAAGTCTTCCCCATCAGTGACCCGGTGCCACCCAAGGTGTAGGAGGCCTGTGTCCCAGGTCGTCTCCCGTTTGCATTCCTGGGGGAGGTTTCTGTGCCCTGCCGCTGCCCATCCCAGACCCCAGCCTCCCTGGAGCCTCTGAGGTGGAAAGCTCTGGTGCAAATGTCCTGGGGTGGGGTGGAGGGGGCTGTGCTCAGACCCTGGGCCCGAGGGAGGGTCTGAAGGAGGCTGCCATTGACCAAGGCCGACACAGGGAGGTCCAGGAGTGGTGAGGCCAGAGGAAGAGGCTCTGGGCTGCAGAGAGCCAGCTGGTCAGTCAGAGAGCCCAGGGGCTGTGCTGTCACCTGAGCCTCCACAGGTGTCCCTGTTCCAAATGAGCTTGGCCGAGGACGTGCAGGCCATCTGGTCATGCCTGTCTTCCCCTGGGCTGCTGAGGAATGTCCTTGCTACCATGCAGCTTGTCACCCTCGTCCCCAGGGACACTGCTGTGCTACCTGATTGTCGCTGTTCTTGTTGTCATAGCTCCTCCTCTTCATCATTGTCACTGTCACTGGGTGCCATGGCCTTTCCTATACCAGTGACCCACATGCCCCTTTCTTTCTCCCGGGCAGTGGGAACACACCCATCGCTGTCTGGGGGACTCACCTGGACCTCATACAGAACCCCCAGATCCGTGCCAAGCATGGCGGGAAGGAGCACATCAATGTGAGTCTGGGGCTGGGAGGGGCTGCCCCTGGCACGCGGCCTCCCGGAGGTGGGGGCTTCCTTCCCCAGCACGCATGCAGCCCCTGCCCAAACACAGGCACCTACAGCATCCTTCTGGGGTGGAGGGACAGGGGTAGAGGTGAGGGATAAGGCCTGGAGGACCAGCCACTCCTGGCAGTTTCGGGGGCTTCCAGCCCTTGCGTCCTCTGAACCCACAGCTGCTTCCTGAAAGTACCTGAGCCGTCGCCGTAGGCAAAGCCAGGACTGGGAGACAGCCACAGAGGGCAGCCCTGGGTGCCCCAGCACAGGGTCCTGGCTGCCTCCCCCCCGTGTTAGCCCACGCTGCGTGGACAGCTCCCCAGGAGGCCAGGGGCAAGCTTGCCTTGTCTCTGGCTCCTCCCACAGATCTGTGAGGTCCTGAATGCCACCGAGATGACCTGCCAGGCCCCAGCCCTCGCCCTGGGTCCCGAGCACCAGTCGGACCTCACGGAGAGGCCTGAGGAATTTGGCTTCATCCTGGACAATGTGCAGTCCCTGCTGATCCTCAACAAGACCAACTTCACCTACTATCCCAACCCTGTGTTCGAAGCCTTCGGTCCGTCAGGAATCCTGGAGCTCAAGCCGGGCACCCCCATCATCCTAAAGGTAGAGCCAGGGCTGGGAGGAAGGAGGCCGTGCAGGGAGGGAGTGGGATGCGGTCACAGGGAATCGCCGGAAGTCACAGGCTCTGGCCAAATATTGTGACTGGATCCTTTGCAGAGGCGGCTTTTAAAGTCCGGAACAATCCTTATAGGCTTGATCCATCCAGGGCAGGCAGATCCGCCCAGGTCACTAGATTCAGAGGGTTTTGTCTTCAGAGTCCAGAAACTTGTCAGTCAGGCCCACACTGCCTCCTCCTGTGAAGCTCTTTGCTAAACACAGTTGAGTTTCTTTGGAGTATGGATTGTAACTTAATTTTAACTCACATGACAATCTGAATCAATGGGTAGTGATTGACTACAAATCTGTTGAGAAGGATTCTGAAGCTACATTAGGAATCAGCTGAAAAGAATACTTTGATTATTGATTTCTCACTGGGAGGAAGGGAGAATGATAGTGTCCATGCTGTATTAATCTGTTTTCTGTTACTAACACAAAATACTTGAGGCTGAGTACTTACCAAAGAAAAGAGATTTATTTAATTCAAACTTTTAGAGACTGAAAGTCCCAATAGCATAGTACTGGCTCCCATGAGGACATCATGCTGGGAGGATGTGGGAGAAGAAGAGATCATGTGGAGGGACAGGAAGCCAGAGGTCAGGGAAGTGATACTCTCCCTCTAGGCCCCACAGCTTAAAGGTCCTACCACCTCTTAACATTGCTGCAACAGGGACCAAGTTTCTGACACGTGGACCTTGGGGGGGACAAGCCACCTGCGAAGCACAGTAGGTGCTGTAGATAGTTTGGATTTACCACTAAGGGTGGACTCTCCACCCACTCACCACCATGATGGGGTGTCCGGGTGGCCAGTCAGTTGGTCCTGACCCTGGGGTGGGAACTGGGACTTCCTGTCTGTGTAGGGCAAGAACCTGATCCCACCGGTGGCTGGGGGCAACGTGAAGCTGAACTACACCGTGCTGGTTGGGGAGAAGCCGTGCACCGTGACCGTGTCAGATGTGCAGCTGCTCTGCGAGTCCCCCAACCTCATTGGGAGGCACAAAGTGATGGTGAGGCTGGTGGGACCCTTCCCTGAGTGGAGTGGGCCTGAGGGACGCAGAGGACAGCGGTCCTGCTACATCCGGGCCAACAGGGCCTTTCCAGGAATAGATTCTGGCTCACTGGGAACTTCCTACTCAGTACCCCATATCCTACTTCCTTCTTCCGTCCCACTTCTCAGCTTCTCCCTTCTGTACGCTCCCTCTTGCCCCATGTGCCCCGCAGGCCCGCGTCGGCGGCATGGAGTACTCCCCGGGGATGGTGTACATCGCCCCCGACAGCCCGCTCAGCCTGCCGGCCATCGTGAGCATCGCGGTGGCCGGAGGGCTCCTCATCATCTTCATCGTGGCTGTGCTCATCGCTTACAAACGCAAGTCCCGCGAGAGCGACCTCACGCTGAAGCGGCTGCAGATGCAGATGGACAACCTGGAGTCCCGCGTGGCTCTGGAGTGCAAGGAAGGTAACTGAATGACCAGAGGCGGGAGCCCGCGCTGGAGGCTGTGTGTGTGTGTGTGTGTGTGTGTGTGTGTGTGTGTGTGTGTGTGTGTGCACGTGGCTGCACCTGCCACTCATACCCTAGGCCGCAGGCTGGGCGGCGGTGGGGGTGCTGGGGCCAGGCCCCTGCTGCAGAGCCCTGTGGCCAGCTCTGAGCGCATGTCCCAGACCACAGCCCTCTCCTGGAGTCCTGCTCTGGTGGCCTTCGGGGAGGTAAGGCCACCCCCCAGGCTCCATCCGGGTCTCAGGCTGGGCTCCCTTACACCTCACCAGAGCAGCCTCTAGGGCCAGCATCCTGGCTGAGTGGGTCCCCTATGTCCCCTAGGGAGACCCGGGGTGTCTTGACACCACCCATTCAAGCAGTCCTCGCTGTCTTCCGCCACAGGAAGGGAAGGCTGCAGGGCTGATCTGCCGTTGGGAAGGGAGAGTGTTTCTCAGCTTGTGTTTATAAAAGTCACAAACACCACTACCAAGTGAAATCAGCCACACGAAACCTCGTCACCCCAGGACGTCTTGCCTGAGTGACCCTGGGAGGACCCATCCCAGCCGGGTCTCTGCCGTCAGTGTGCACAGAGTGGACCTGGCCGTGGACCTGGGCTCCCCCAGCACCCACTCCCATCTCAGTGGGGAACTGGATCCACTCTGCCCCCTCCCTGCGTCCCCCAGCTGTCAACCTGGCATCCGCCTTGTGGGACTGTTAATTACTGCCTTTTATTATATTTATGCTGCTTAATTTTTTTTTCTCCGCAAAGTACTCTTCCCTCTAATTAGGTGTAGTGATTAGAATCTCTTTTATGTGTGGCAGGCAGGAGCCTTTGAATGTTGGAGGCGCTGGGTGACTTGAAGGAAAGCTGCAGACCCATCCAAAGCCCAGTGTCTCCTTCTCCTCGGGGCAGCTGAGGGGAGGGTGGAGCTGGGCTCCACCCGGAAGATCCCTGGGGAGGGAGGCTCAGCAGGCAGAGGCCAATCCAGCCCAAGAGTAGAGGCTGAGAGGGAGCCATGGCTTCTGACTTGGGGACAGCTATGCCACCAGGGTGGCAAGAGGGATTCTCCAGGGTGCTGGGGCTGGTGTCATGAAGACCACACAGTCACCCACACCCAAGCTCAGAAGACACCCAGCCTGGCCCTGCTGGGCGTGAGCTTTGGATGTGTCAGCACACGCCGGTGTGCGCACACACTCCCTCTCCCCACACTCCCTGCTCACACTCAGACACTTAGATTCCCACACGTGCACACATTCCCACCCCCTGCTGCAAACATGCAGATGCATGTTCTACCCTCAGGATGGGTGAGTGTTTGCTGGGCTTGTGGTGCCTGTGCAAGCCAGAGACGCCTGCCGATCCCCCTGCACATGCACGCCTGCGTGAACACACACACGCCTGCACACGCACACTCCCAAAGGAATAAGTTCTGCTTGGCTGCATTAGGGCTGTCTGCCTTCGGGGTCACTGCATGACCGGAACAGTGTCCCTGTGGACAGCAGAGGTGGGAGATGCAGGAGGAGAGGAGCAATGGAGGGCCATGGGGACATCTCCCCACCTATCCCAGGTCGTTTCTGTCAAGCCTCGGTTCTCTCTTGGTACCAGGACCGGCTGAGAGCTTTGGGCCTGAGATCTGCAGGAGCGGAGCTCCCCAAAATCAGTATCAAGGGCAGGACAGGGCCACACCCACTGCTCTGGAGGTGCCTAGTGATGTTCATGTATTGCAGCCCGCGGGGCACTGGGCTTGCTTTTCAAGGGCCCTAGAGACGTGCTGGACTGTGAATCCCTTCTGAGCCCACAAAGTATTTTTTTTTTTCCTGTTCCTTAAATGTACACAAATAGAAATTTTGGTTAGTCAATGTCCCTGGCTGTTCTTCTATGCCAACATGTGTTACTTCATCCTGGATGTGTGTAAGTGTGTGTGTGTGTGTGTGTGTGTGTGTGTGTGTGTGTGTGCGCGTGCGTGCACCAAAGAGAAAGTTGGAGGAGCGGGAAGCTCCTCACTTAAGTGCCTCTGGTGGCGGAGGGTGACCCCAGAAGAGGGTGTAGTGGCAGCTTTGGTGCTGTGTAACAGAATTTTCTGGGAGTCTGCTGGGGTCTGGCAACTCTGTCCATCTGGACCCACCCTGGGATCAGAACTCATCCCGGTAGCACACCCTTGAAGCAGAAAGGACGGGGCAAGCGGCTGCGTATCCACAGGGAAGGAGCAGACTAGCACAGCAGTCCCTCCTTGGGAGCCTTGTTTTGAAGTTTGATGATCCCACTGAACTGCCTGGTCCAGAGCTGGGCCCTCAAATGTTTTTCCTTAATCAGAAGAAATTGTTCTTTAATTTCCTGAGGAAGCCCCATACAACACAGCACAGGAACAGACGGCCACGGTGCCCTCTCCATTCTCTCCTCCCGTCCCTCCTCTACACCTCTCTCCCCTCCCCCACCCACCACCCCCAGCCCGTTTTGCAAAGCAGAGCCCTTCATCTCGGGGTGGGGGGTGTTCCCTCGCCCGGCACAGGTCTGCAGGCCGCCTTGCCACCCCCTGCCCTTCCTGAGGGATGCAGCTCCCAGTGCACATTCTCCCAGTGCACCTCCCCCCATTCGGATGCCACCAATCCCCATCCTGCTCACCGAGGTCCCTTGCTCCCGTCTCCTCGGGGCCTGGGTGAGGCCCTGAGCAGTCCCAGCTCAGGTGACTCTCGGCCTCGCCATCCATGCTCTCGTGGGATTCTCTCCTTGCCAGCTTTTGCCGAGTTGCAGACAGACATCCATGAGTTGACCAGTGACCTGGACGGGGCCGGGATCCCCTTCCTGGACTACAGGACCTACACCATGCGAGTGCTGTTCCCAGGAATTGAAGACCACCCTGTGCTCCGGGACCTCGAGGTACGAGGTGGTGGCCAGTGCTGGTGTGAGAGCAGGACAGCCCCCTCGTTTGGAGATGAGAAAGCTGAGATCAGGGAGGGGAGGTACCTTTTCTGGAGTCCTCCAGCTGGTGGGCACCAGCCGGGCCTCTGGAGGAGATGAGGCTGGGCCAAGGGAACCTCAGAGCAGGTGTGAACAGTGCTTAGGGTCCTAGGGAGCCATGAGCCCTTGGGGAATTGAGTGGACATTAAGGACTCTCTCTCCAGAAAAACAGAACCTGTATAGAGAAACAAGAAGCATGGCTGATAAGCTGAGGGCGTTCACGAACCCCTGTTTAAGAAACCACAATAGAAAGGATTTTTATCACTTAGTGGGTGCTCCATAAATGTATAAGGGATTTCACCACTTGGTGCTTCGTTGGGAAAGATAAATGATGTGTAAAGAAGGGAGGGGAAAGTGAATGATAAAATCCTAGCCATCTTTCTACCAGCGGGGACCTCGTCTTCTCAACACTTTATCCCACTTACTGTCTAGCGTGGTATCTGGCTTATGCATATATTCATATTATGCTTTGTTCCAAAAGGGCTTTGGAATGGCTTATAAAGATAAATACAAGAGAAAACTGAAAAATATAAATGAGGAAACCAGGGCATAATCATAATCCCGAGGAATGATCACTATTAGTGGGCTGTTAGTAAGTCCGCACACAGCTTCAAGCGCTTTGCATAGATCATTCATTTAACCACCCAGAAAACCCTCCGAGCGGGTGAGCCCACTTCACAGGTGACAAAACTAAGGGAACAGGGAAAGCCAGTGGTTGTCTGGAGCCACGCAGCTCTTGGGACGGAGGCAGGGGTTGAGTCTAGGCAGTTAGACTCCAAGCAGGCTCGTTCCCTGTCCCAAGCCTGGGCACTTGACCTTGAGGGCGCTACCGCAGTCACCTGACTAGGACCTCTGGATACTTAACTAGGATTGAAGGAAAATCTGCAGCCAAAGCCACAGAGTGTCACTTGGGCTCTACCAGGGTGGCGGGCAGTGACTTTGCAGCGCAGGCCTTCCACAGCCATGCTTGTGGCACACACTTTTTTCCATGCTGCTTGTTCAGTGGAGCACGTGTGTGTTTCTACAGTGAGGCTGTGGGTGTTGGTATCTAGGGGGGCTCCCGTGGGCTCCTCACCATGAGGCATTTGTAGAGGCTCTGGGCAGTGGGTGCTCTGTCCTCGCTGGTGATGTACCTTTTCTGTCCACCTATGTTTATGCATGGATTTGCACGGGAATCATCTATCACCTAAAAAGGCCAGGTGTCTCAAGACGTCTGTGTCCACGGTGGCCCTGGCCTGGCTCCTGGGCTGGGCTCCTTTCTCTTTCCCTCTCATCTCTCCCTGCCTTTCCCCTTTCCTTCAGCCTCTCCTTTATTTGCATCAAGACACCAGGCTTCTTGGGGCACTGAAGTGGATGCACTAGTTAAAGTGGGAAATGGGAGCAAGGCACAGTGGTAACATGCTTAAAATTCCAGCTACTCTCAAAGCTGAGGCAGGAGGAGTACACGTTCAAGGTCAACCTGGGCAATTTAGTGAGACACTGTCTCAAAAAAATAAATAAATAAATAAAAAGGGTTGTGTGTGGAGCTCAGTGGGAGAGCACTTGCCTGGCATGAGCAAGGTCCTGGGTTCAATCCCGAACACTGCAAAAAAAAAAAAAAAAAAAAATCAACGAGTTAGTCAATAAGTGAAAAGTAGCAGAATCTGGGTCATGAGAGGGGACACATTATTTCACCATATAGGAAAAAAAAAAAAAAAAAGCCACGGAGTGATGGCTGTGTGTGTGGATGTGTGCAGACGGCGCTCTGCTTTATTAATCTTTGTGATTCCACCTTCCAGCCTAGTAGGGTGCCTGGCAGAGTAGACACGCAGGAAACAGTGAGCAACCACAGAACTGAATGTCTGCCTGTCTGTCTTCAGGAGGGTGGACTCGGCAGCCTGGGAAGGGGATTCTGACCCCCCTGGATGGGATAGAGAAGATTCTAAGAATTCAACTCGGATGAGTGTCTGCACTTATTCTCCTTTTTTTTTTTCACTAGTTCAACACTCTAAAAGGTCTAAGTAGGCTTTCTTTAGGGTATAACTGCTTAATCGTATTTTCTGAGACTGTGTCAAAGTGTACTTTGGGGCAGGACAGTCACCTCCCACATAAGTTTTCTCTTGGTGGGCACACACGCACTCCCTGCCACCATCTTTTATCCAGACTGTTGGTGTGGCCCACGTTAGCTCTGCTCCTGTTCCTCACTTGGTCCCACCTGTCTTGTGGCTTTCCTCCATCTTCTTGCCTCTTTGTAGAGTCTCAGACTCTTAGATCTGGGGCTTGGCACTGGTTTGGCATATACTCAAGGGACTGCCAAGGGTGACATCCCTCAAAGGGCACAGAGGATAGAGAGGGACTCGGAGACTCAGGACGCAGGGATCTGGTAATTACCCTGCCAGTCTGTATTCCCTGCAAGGTGCTTTCCGTAGACGTGCCCCTTCTGGGCTCCAAACCCATGGCGTAGATCACACTGTGTCCCGTCCTGGCCTGGCCTGCTTCCTCATCCAGCACCTGCAGATCTCCCCGCAAATAGGACTACTTCCCATTTTCTTTGACTTTGTCAAAAAGGGAGACTTTCTGACCCCCCAGCCTCCTGCTCTTAAGGAGCTAACCACCAACTTCACTCCTGTCTGTGTGTAAGGATGCCCACAGGTCGGCTAATCGTCAGGCCTGGGCAGTCACAAACAGGTCACATGACTGTAAAAATTGTAGTACAATATACATAACGTGGCATTTACCATTTATGCCACAGACACGTGCTGAGTGCCTCTGCCTCTTTCCAAAGTCAAGCATTAGCTACTGGTCCCCCCACCCCCAACCACCGTGGTCGGCCGCCCTTTACTTACTGTGAATCTGCCTACTCCAGAGACTTCGTATGGGTTGAGCCACACAGTATTTATTTGTCCTTGTCTTCCTTTAACCCACTCAAAGCAGTACTGCTACAAGGTACCCTAATAAAAACAGAAAATGCCATCTGCCGGGTCCCCGTTGCATGTAGTGCACAGTGCCGGGCACATTACCTACATGATTTCAATGAAGTCTTCTAATGAGCTTGCAGGGAAGAGATGGGATCTTTTAGTAATCTCTCAGGGTTATTACTCTTGTTCCAAGGCCACCCAGCTGGTGAAGGGCTATGCTGGATCTCCAAGCTTGTGTGGCTTCCTAGCACCAGGCCCTGCCCCACCTTTCACCACATGGAACCCTGTCCCTGGCTTCTCCCTGTAGCTTTCCCGTGCCAGATCTTCTAGTTTGAATCTTCAGACTGGCTGCCAAGAGAGAGCAGCCATGGGCAGGTTTGGCACTATGGCACCTGGAGAGGCAGAAGAGGTCACAGGGACAGCTAAGTGCCCTACTGACCATGACATGCATGCTGAGCTTCCTGCCTCGGCTGCACTTTCTGCAAAACACAGAGGCCACCTGGGCAGCAAGTGCCTGGGACCCTGGGCAGGAGGCTTTTAGTACAGCCACCTGTAGGACATAGCATCCAGACCAGCAGGCTGGGTTTTGGAATTGGAGACCACAGTGACGTGGGGGTGGAGGAAAACTCCATCACCTCTGGGGTCTATTGCCTCATCTGTAAAATGAGAATATGAGAGCCGATGTCATAATGTTTTATGAACATTAAATAAGATAATGTATGTAAAGTGCTTGGCAGGTGCCGCGCGCGCATTAACAGCAGTGGCTTTATCACCCGCTCCATTGACTGCATTTCACAGATCCCTCTCGCCCAGGAGTTTCCGTGACATCTAATGCATGGCACTCCTGGTCTTGGGGTGCACAAGGTAGATAGATGCCTTTTCCCCATTTTATGGACGGAGGAGATGGAAGGGAAATATCTTGGTAAGGAGTATCCAGAACCATTTGCTAAGTAGCCCACCACCCTCCCCCCAGGCCAATGCCACTCTGAAACAAGACTTTCTTTATTCACCAGATGGTTCTCTAATTTAGTCGAAGTCTGTGAATATAAAACTGGATAGTAAACTTTAATTGTAACCCAACAGGTTAGAGTTTAGAGCTGATGAGGGGTTGAAATTGAGAGACTGTGATTGACGGCTCCATGTTTTAATTGGTGTGTGAACAGTGCCTGGACTTAGCCAGTAGGCCACGAAAACGGGGGCCTGGTGACCTACTCCTTAGGACAGTCTGAACAAGAGGACCCTTCCCTCCTCACACTTCCGACTAGTGACTTCAAGGGGTGGGCAGTACTGCTTTAGATCAACTAGAAGCTTCCCCTGGAATGTTTCCACACCACGAGGGAGAAGCATCTGTGTAGGAGGGCCACAGGATTGGGGGGAGGTCAAGGGTGTCAGACGGCAGATTGAGGCCTGGCTATGGCAGGGGAGGCTGCCACAGGTCCCTTGCCAATTCCTCCTCAGCTCCCAGGGGGAGTGGGAAACCAGGGAGCCAGGCATGAAGCAAGCAGAGATGGCCCCCCTTGGGGAGCGAGGGACTCTTGCGGGTCAGAGGACTGTTCTGAGAGCCAGGATGAGCTGCAGGGTGGCCCTGGCCAGCACCTGCTGTACCTGTGGGCTCTGGTGAGTTCTCATCTCTCTCCTGAGAACTGGCCTTCCAAGTACCCGCACCACAGCAAGACAAATGAAAGTGAGCCTGCTCCGAGAGCAAGCTTTCCACCAGCTTCCAACCCGCGGGAGCTGTTGATGCCAGGCAACCAGAATCCATGGGGAGCTGCTCTGCAGGGTGCAGGGCGGCCCACAGCACCCTCTACAGAAGGCCTCCGGTGGCCTCAGGCAGCTCTCGGGCCTGTGTAGCAATGCCCTCCTGTGCACACCCTACCTGTTCCAGGGCCAGGAATGTTTCTGCCACCTCCCGTGACCCCAGGCAGACAGGCTTTCTCTGGCGATCTCTGTCTTTGCCAGTTTGAACCTCAGGAGCACATTGTCTCTTAGTCCTGTGATGCCCCAGGAGGTGGGAGGATGTGACACCGACTGCTGGTCTGGCCTGACGCTTCTGTCTTGGGGACTTGGGAAAGCTCCTTACTCTTACGGGTTCCAGGGGTCCTAACAGGACCTGCCTCCTCGTGGGTCTTGTGGATTAAATGGGCCAATGATTCCTAAAGCCCGTGGAACAGTATCTGACCCAGAGTAAGATCCAGGTACATATGATGTGCTTCTTGTTATCTTCATTTTGCTGGTGAGATTAAGTCTACTAAGAGCCCCGCCGCTAGTAAATGACGGTGATAGAAGTAAACCCAAGTTCCCCCAACTCTGAAACCATGCTCTTGATGGCTGCCGACGTGACAGTCCTTCTCAAAGACTGGAGGTAACTCCCTTTTGGGGGTCTGACACCCCCCGGGGTGATTTTGTAGTCACCTTTTGTTTGCTCCAATGCAGATGCTGGAGCAACACACAGGTTGTCAGTGTGCAGGTCAACAACCTTCCCCCAAGTTAGACCACCTGGCAAGCCAGCGTCCAGGTGGAGAAGCAGAGTGCCAGTCCTCCAGGGAGGGCCCCCACTCCCCTTCCAGACAGAGCCACCCCCCCCCCAAATAACCAATAAGTCTATTTAAATGGAGTTATGTAAAGAGCCCATTTGACCTTTCTCATTCAGTATGTTGGAGAAGCTGGTCCCTGTATCATGGGCAGCAATGGGCCATTCCCGTCACTGCTGGACACCAGGAGCTCCCAGGCTGGGGGATGGCCGACAGTGCTGCCAAGCATATTACTGTCCATGGGTGGCTGGCGGGTGACTGCCCAGGGGGTAGTGCACCCTGCTGGGCCTCCCAGGAACAGACCCTGAGGGCAGGAAGGCAGAAAGCTCTTGTGCCCCCTCCTCGGGATGGAGTGGGTCTCAGAAGGTGTCCCATCACAGGCCAGAGTCAGTGAGGTCCTCGAGACCACAGGCTCAATCTTCCCCTTTTCTCAGGCTAAATTTAGGCCCCAGAGAAGTGAAGGGACTTGTCCATGGTTACCTAGCAGAGGGGGGCAGAGTCCATGTGGAACCCAGAAATCTTGACTCAGACCACAGGACCCCATCCATGGGGCGGGGAGGGCAGGGTGTTGGGTTAGCTAGAGGCTCAGTCCTGGTGACCCATCAGCAGGGTGCCAGCCACAGCAGCCCTGACGTGGCACCTGGTCAGCTCCGCACCACCATCAGGCAGGAGCTCAGGCCCCAGGGTCCAGCAGATGCCGGTTCAAATCTCAGAAGCGCCGTTAATGAACTGTGGCTAGTTCTGTCCTCAGCTGGATGGTCTCTAAACGGGAGGTAAAGACCTGTTGTGGCTGAGTACAGTGCCGGGCTCCTGGGGATGGATAGCATTAGCCAGCTGCAGCTATAGCGATGGGTGAGAGGTGGGGTGGGACCCTCCAGCTCCCACGGGAGGTCGCCAGGGCATCCTTGGCCTTTCCCGCAGGTCCCGGGCTACCGGCAGGAGCGCGTGGAGAAAGGCCTGAAGCTCTTCGCGCAGCTCATCAACAACAAGGTGTTCCTGCTGTCCTTCATCCGCACGCTCGAGTCCCAGCGCAGCTTCTCCATGCGCGACCGCGGCAACGTGGCCTCGCTCATCATGACCGTACTGCAGAGCAAGCTGGAGTACGCCACAGACGTGCTGAAGCAGCTGCTGGCCGACCTCATCGACAAGAACCTGGAGAGCAAGAACCACCCCAAGCTGCTGCTCAGGAGGTGAGGGTGTGGCCCACGGTGGCAGCCGGGCATCTGAGCATCCCCTGCTGGCCTCCTCCAGGCTGAGCCACCTGGCTCCTGGAGCCTTCCAGAGACCAGAGGAGGCTGCAAGAGGAGCAGCCAGACTCCCCGAGGGTGAGGCACTGTGCTGCCAGAAGCGGAGCTGCATCCCCAAGACCCCGCCCACCACCCACCATCCAGTGCCCTCCTAGAAGACCCTGCCCGTCACACGGGTGCCTATTGGCTCACCCTCTAGTTTTCTTCCACCTGTATCTGCTTTCCACTTGACTTTATCTGCCCTTCCTCTCCCTGGATTTTGATGCGTTCTACTGGAATTCTTCTCTGTGGATACTTCAGAGGTCATTTATGCCAATCTCTGGCCTCCTTTAAGCCAGAGCTGGAATTAGGAGAGAGACCCCGTGGCTTCTTGCTGCCCAGGGCCCAACAGCAGGTACAGCATCCAGGAGCTAGTTAGAAATGCAAAATCTGAGGTTTCCCCCAGACCCTGAATCAGAATCTGCATTTTAATGAGGAACCCAGGTGGTTCGAATGCGCAGTAGATTTGAGAAGCACTGAGCACAGACCTTTTGGTAGCCACTTACCCAGTGCAGCCCAGCAGGTATTTCCTGATCCTTGATGTAGGCTCTGAATAGGTCCATGGTGCACCTGCAGCTCCTATAGCAGGCTGTTCAAACCAGAAAGGGCAGATGTGCACACGTGCCCAAGCCCTGGCCTGTGGCTGCAGCCTCTGTCTATTTTTGCTTCTATTCGAGGGACAGCTCCTCCGGGCTACGTGACTCCAATGTCTGTTGCCTTGGTGGATCTAAAGTTACAAAACTCCCACGTGAAGTGGTCACGGCCAGCCCTCTGCCCAGACCAGCTGTTGGTCTCTGCCTCTCTACCTGGCCCTTAACTTTCACCCTGGGTCTCTGGGTCTGAGGCTATGCCTCAGTGGCCCCTGCTTGGTCCTGCGGATAGATCTGGCTTTAGAAGTGTTCACTTCAGGCTTTTTCCTGGTACAGCGGGCACTCACTGGCACAGATGCAAAAGGTGGCTGCATAGAGAGGCAGTCATCCAGCTTTAGAAACAGCAAGGTGGATCATTTTGATTTTTGTTTTACTTCCACCAAGGAGCCACCCACCGGCGTAATTGTAGGTTGCTGCTGCCAGCCAGAGCTCCCACCAATTTCCTGGTGGGGTCTGTCTCCCCAGCTTGTTTTCCTCTCCCACTCCCCCATGCCCCTGCGCCTTCTGCCCTCCTCCTCCTATCTCTCCTTCTTGCCCCTGGCTGCCCACTTCTTTCAATATTCTTCTTGTTTCTCTTCACCTTCACTTTGGGCTGGCAGAGGCCCAAAGGCTTTGGAATTTTAGTTACTAAGTATTTTCTGTCAACTGCAACTTTAAACTCCATACAAACATATGTGGATGGCAAACAGGTGGAGGGGCTGGTTTTTCTCTGGAGCTGGCCATGCACTCAGCACAAGTTTGAATGTTTTCTCTAAATGGATGCAACCACAAATAATAACATTGCTGTTGCATCTTCACTTAAAAGAATAAATGGGCTTGGATTGTAGCATGAAAGAGGAAAAGGAGACTCAAGAAGGCACTTCCTCTCATTGCAAATCAAACTCTAGAAGGGTTTCCAGAGGAAGTTCCAAATTATATGGAAGCCTTCAAAACAGGATGACTTTGGCATCTCGTGGGATGAACTAGGTTTACAGCTCCATGTGGCCCTCGGTGCTTGGAGTCTTTAACTCGGGTTATGAGCTCCGTCTGGATTATCTGGCCTTTTTTTGGCCATGATTCTCTTTCCTTGCTACTTTCTTTGATTTTCGCTGCCAAATTAGCATCTCCCCTGATTTTGTTTGCTCACGCAAAGTTCTCTAAGGCTGAGCTACTCAATAGGAGAGCTACCAGCCATGGGCAACTATTTAAATCTAAATTTGTTAAAGTAAATAAAATGAAAAATTTCCCCTCCTCAAACACACCAGCCACAATTTGCACTTTTGGTGGCCACGTGTGGCCAGTGATTACCACACAGGACGGCAGGTGGAGAACCCTGCCGTCGTCAATGCAAAGCACTGGACAGCCCACTCTGAGCAGGCCCAGAAGATACCCACCTGTGACGTCACCGATACCCTGCAGGTCCTTCTCCAGCTTTGAGATAAAGCTCCTCTGACCACCCTGGGAGCTGGGAGTCCACGAAATCTCCCTCTGGGTAGGATCTCACACCTGGGCCCTGGAGCCTGAGCTGCAGGAGGGAGGCAGACTCCTTGCCCTGTCACCCGGCCTGGCCTGCAGGTTCTGACCAGCTGCTTCTCTCTTTGTCCTCCTCTGCTCATTCCCTTGGCGTCTGATGACAGGACAGAGTCGGTGGCTGAAAAGATGTTGACCAATTGGTTCACTTTCCTCCTCTACAAGTTCCTCAAGGTAGGATGGGACGAGGCCCTCTTTCTGGCCCTGCCGTGATTCCCATCTTGGGGACCAGCCTGCATGCTCCCCAGCCTGCCCCATTCCATGCCGCACCCCCAAGTCCATTCTGGCTGGCCTCGCCACTTCCATCCCACAGGAAATGGACTTGCCCCTCATCACCGTCTTGAAAGACAGGGATCCCATTTGGCCCTAGTTTCTGGGACGGAATCCCTCGTGGCTGGTTTTTTCCCAGTTAAGGGGCGGAGGAGCCCCTGAGAGGGCCCTGCACAGACTTTCAAGCTAAGTCCCCACTTAAGCTGAAAATAGTTCATCTCTTACTTCCTCACGTATTCCTCTTCCCTCTCCCAGCCTCAGGTTTAGGGAGGCTGATAAGGGTCCTGGTTACGGACAGCAGCCACATGTCACAGCAGATAAGCCAAGGACGCACCTGGGAGGCGGGAGAACTGCTGGCTTCCAGTGACCAGCCTGTTTTCCTAGAGCTCAGACCACAGAGGACTGAGCTCTGCTCTTGGTGGAGCCTCAGAGACAGTGAATGGAGGAGGGGCGGGGGAGGGAGACAGGGAGGAAGGAAGAGCCGGCTCTAGACGGGTGGCAGGAGCAGGTGACATGGGGAAGACCCTGCGTCCAGAGAGCCAAGAGCCCACAAGTCTGAAGGGTAAAGAGTTACAGAGGAGAAAATTGGAAACGGATAAAGAAGCCGATGGGTCCAGGAGAAGGCAGGACAGGAGCCTGGGGTGGGCTCCGCGCCCCTGCAGTCCTGAAGCTCAGCGCGTGTTTCTTGTCACTCCAGGAGTGTGCTGGGGAGCCCCTCTTCTCCCTGTTCTGCGCCATCAAGCAGCAGATGGAGAAGGGCCCCATAGATGCCATCACGGGAGAGGCCCGCTACTCCCTGAGCGAGGACAAGCTCATCCGGCAGCAGATCGAGTACAAGACCCTGGTGAGCCACCCTCCACTCCTGCAAGGTCGCAGCACACGGGGCAGGAAGGGGAGGGAACTAGCAAGGGCCCCTGGAGGTTCTGCAGCCCCCACCACCCACCAAAGTTCAAGTAGGATGCACTGTGGGATGGGAGGCCAGGTGGCCTAATGCGAGGCATTCGTCCAGGGAACTCGGAGATGCCCTCTGTCAATCAAGGTCAGGCCCTCCTCTCCTGGGGCAGCAGTTGCCCGAAGAGGCAGCAGAGCTTAGCAGGGCTCAGTGTTTAATACTGTAGCTTTCCTTTTCTTTTCTTTTTAAAAATTCTTTCTAGGTATGAATGACAGTAGAGTGTATTTTGACATATTATACACACATGGAGTATAACTTCCCATTCTCGTGGTTGTACCTGATGTGATCATATAGAGCACTAATCTCCAGGATATATATATATATATAACTAAAAAAATCTTAACACCCAAAAAACAAATTACCCAATTAATAAATGGGCAAAAGAACTGAACAGGCACTTTATAGAAGAACAAATATGAACAGTCAACCAATATATGAAAAAATGTTCAACATCTCTAGCAGTTAGAGAAATGCAAATTAAAACCACACTGAGATTGCATCTCACTCCAGTCAGAATGGCAAATATCCAGAATACAAGCAATAATAAGTGTTGGTGAGGATGTGGGGAAAAAGATACGCTCATACATTTCTGGTGGGACTGCAAATTGGTGCAACCAATATAGAAAGCAGTATGGAGATTCCTCAGAAAACTTGGAATGAAACCACCATTTACAGTTTTCCCACTCCTCAGTATTTATCCAAAGGACTTAAAATCAGCATACTACAGTGACATAGCCACCTCAGTGTTACAATAGTAAGCTATGGAACCAACCTAGGTGCCCACCAACAGATGGATAGATAAAGGTTGTGGCTTTGAAATCAGACAAACCCAGATCTGAACCCTGACTGGGTATATTGAGGCAGGTCCCTAACTTCTTTGAGTTTATGTTTCTTCATCTGCAAAAGGGGATTGTAGAATCTGTGGGGATGGGAATAACAGCAGCTCTACTGACTGGAACTGTCCAGGGAATTGAGGGAGCCCAGTGCCCAGACGGGGATGGCAAGCAGGCGTTCCCTCCCGCTGGCTCAGGCCAGCCTTCCCGCATGGCTATTCCTCCACCTCCTGGCTGCCCACTGTCCTTCTGTGCCCAGGGCGACCCTCAGACTTTTTGGGGGAGAACTGTGATATCCTACCAGGTCTTTTTCTCCAAGAAAGAGGAGAGGACGTGGAAGGAGGAAGGAGTATACAAAACGTGTTGGGGGTGAAATCCAGGTGACCCCCAAGAATGTTAGCAAAGGAGACAGCCAGGGAGTGAAGGGCACAGGGGACAGGGGACAGGGAATAGATGGAATTAAAATGGAATCAGCAGGACACCAGACAATGGTGGCGGGAGGGAGGGGGTGTAGCAGAGCTGGGAGACACAGATGCTCCGACATCCCCAGTTGGTCTGAGCCCAGGGTTGGGATGACCCCACAGCCTGCGGCCAGCTGGGGAGATGGTCCCCACCTCTGGACATAGCTGTCCCTCCTGGCTGGAGGGCTGTGACCACAATTCACCCACCCCACCCCCATCTTCTGAGAGCCCTGGGCTATCCCAGAAGATTTCTGGACAGATTCAGGATTGGCTCCCTGAAGATTCAAAGGCAGCACCTGCCAGGGAGGCCCTCATGGCTGCCTCTGCTCCCGAGGACAGTTAGAAACGCCAACAAAAATGGAAAAGTTGGGGGGAGGCCTTCCGCAAAACAGAGACCCGAGGGCTGGGGATGCAGCTCAGTTGGTGGAGTGCTCTCCTCGCCTGCGCAGGGCCCTGGGTTCAATCTCCAGCTCCACACACACACACACACACACACACACACACACACACACACAAAGACCTGAGCTGATTTCTTAGTAGGAAAAACTACCTTTGAGTCGCTCCTGCTCCCTCCCCTCCCCACCCACCCCTTCCCTCCTGCTCCCAATATTGAATGCAGCACAAAGATGGTGATAATGCTCCCCCACAAGCTGCAGCAGGCTTTGTTCCGAGGTCAGAGGACGGTTAGTTACCCAGCTGGCTTCAGGTGACTGCCTCAGAGAGAATGAGAGGAAATTGGAGTGGGTCAGGGCCGAGCGTCCATTAAGGTGGAAACACAGACAGGCGGGAGAAAAGCGGAAAGAAACTGTGATTGTTTCTCCTGGAGGAGACCCGGCTGCAGGGAGATTGCCTGGGCCCCTCGAGGCCCGGGGGAGGGAGTTCCCCCATGTGGAGGGGCAGCCCCATCTGCTGAGGACGGGGGAGAGGAAGGTGCCCGGTGCCATAGCAGCAGGCTGGACAGAGTCCAGGTGAGCTGCTCAGATACGAAGAGGGGACCTGGTGGGGTTCTGCAGCGGCTGGAGGAGCCTTTAGGGGAACCTTGAGTAGGACCCTTGCCCTGGGCAGGAGGAACAACGTGTGGCTCTGAGAGACTCAGGGGGAGACCAAAGTGCACTTCTTTAAGTCCGGTGCATCTCCCAAGTGTTTAATTAAATTGATGCTCTAGAACTTGGCTTGGCATGTCCCAGGGCCCTGCTACTGGGAATGCCCCAGGATCCGCGTCAGTAGTATCTTGGAGCCTGCTAGGGTACGTGTCCCCTGGGAGCCTGCTGGAAACGAGGTACTCTCCCAGGAGCCCACTGTAGTGCTAGGTGCCCCCTGAGAGTCAGCTGAAGTGCTAGATGCCCATCTGGGAGCTTGCTAGAGTGCTGGGGGCCCCCTGGGAGCTCACTAGAGGGTTCCATGCTCACCTGGGAGCCTGCAGGAGCACTCTACAGTCACCTGGAATCCTGCTGGGGTGCCAGATGCCCTCCTGGGAACTTGCTAGAATGCAGAATCCTAGGCCCCACCATGGACCTCCTGGACCAGAATCTGTGCCCTGCCCAAGAGATTCTATCCACAAGAAAGTTCACGGGCACTTCGCAGCCCAGAGGGCCCCAGGGCATTTGTTCAGTAAGTAGCCGAGGAGCACAGGGGCCGGGAACTTCTGAGACTGTGCTGCGACCTGTGGCCAGGGGCCAGGGCCTCCGCTCTGGAAGGCTGGTCCTGGCCCTGAAGTACGCTATGCAGCTGTTCCCCTGGGGCCCCCTGAACCTCTGGGAAAGGAGAGATGCCAGGAGCTCACCCGCAGGTGGCGGCCCCTGCCCCACGGTCTCTCCTGGGAAGAAGACTGGAAAAGCCCTGCTCTGCCTGGGGGACATGGAGCCACACTCCTGGCCCCAGGGCAGGACAGCAGGGGCAGCCAGAGCAGCAGGAAGGGTCAGGCCTGACCGCTGAGCAGGAGGGAGGGCTGCTGGGAGGCTCTGGAGGAGGAGTAGCCAGGCGAAGGCACATGTGGACACATGGTCCAGGGGTCCTGCCGCCATGTCTCCAGTTTGGGGCGCGTTGAGGACGAGTGTGGTTTATAGATTCAGAGGATTCTTTTTCTCAGTGGAATACGCGGGTTCCCCCCTTGAGCTCATAACAGCCCCATTGCTAATGAAAGGCAGCCGTCCAGCGCCGGGGAGCTGATTGCCAACACACGGAGCGCGAGGGGCTAGGGTCTGGCTCTGCGAGCCACATGGGCCCCCTGGGAAAGGGTTCTGGGGAAGGGGAGGGGGAAAGTCCCCAGCAGGAGAACAGCACACGGAGGGCGCAGGCTCTGCAGCCAGAGGAGAGTCTGGGGCCCAGAGAGCCTAGTAGCACCCCCACCCCCCGGGGAACCCCAGGCCCCCCGGCTCCATCATCCATGCAGAAAGAGCCCACTGCAAAAAAAGTGGGGAAAGAAAACCCTGGAACTTCTCAAAGGACAACTCCAGAACTTCTTTAAAAAAAAAAATTGGTGAAGTAGCATTTTAACTTTTCTGACTTGTTCCCCAAAGAGATGGAGCCAGACGGTGGCCTTGTCTCCGACCAGGTTCAGGTTCAGAGCCAGAAAGGAATCTGGGGTGGCTCTAATCTGCGATTTTCCCAAGGGCACCTTTTTGTTTCTAAAGAATACATCAAGCCTCTTGTACATTCTCCAACTTCCCCCAAAGCCCCAAACCCTTCCCAAGTTAAAGTTATTAAAGCTTTTGGGACAGGAGCCCTGATCCCATTAGCACTGAGTGTGGCCGTGTCTGGAAGGGAGCCATGAGAAACAGGGTGACACAGAAGGATGGGGTCGAGGGTCTAAGTGTGCCACCGAGATTGTGCGTCTGGCACATTTGGAGACAGGGCCTCACTAAGTTGCTGAGGCTGGCCTCAGCCTCCCCAGTAGCTGAGAGGAAGGGGAGGCCACTGCGCCTGGTGAGAGAGTTTTCGTGAAGTTCGTCCCAACAGGCAGTCAAGCATGGAACCTGCACTCCTGCCATGACCTGGAGCCTGGGGGTTGTCCTGCTTGTCTGAACAGAGAGGGCAGGGCACCTGGTGGGGACACAGGGCTGGTGCTGGAGAGGACAAGCTGTACAGGACCCCAGGGTGCTGCTGGGGATCCCTGAGCTCTTCCTCGGCCTCACCCACGTGCCCTCTCCCCGCCACCCCCAGGTCCTGAGCTGTGTCAGTCCAGACAATGCCAACAGCCCCGAGGTCCCAGTGAAGATCCTCAACTGTGACACCATCACTCAGGTCAAGGAGAAGATTCTGGATGCCATCTTCAAGAACGTGCCCTGTTCCCACCGGCCCAAGGCTGCAGACATGGACCTTGGTGAGTCGGCTGTCCCTCACCCAGGGGCCTGTCCCTGTGACCAGTCCTAGGACTTCCTCAGGGCAGGAGCAGCAACCCTGGGGCACAGGGGACGGAGGGGCAATCAGTGGATGAGGAGGGGCATGGCTGGTCCCCTAGGAGCCCACGGGACTGGTCTTCATGGACTGCTGGAGTTGGCCAGAGCTGGTCAGTGAGCAATGGGCAGAGACGGGGTGGTGGCTCGCTGATGGTCTGATGGTGATCTGGCCTAGCAGGCTAGGTCTCTGGGGTCCTTTGAGTGACCAAAGGCTGGGAGTACTGGTGTCACATTCAAGTGAAGGGAGTTAAAGGCAAAAGCTGCTCGTCTGGTCTCCGAGACGAGGTCTGGCTTCCGCTCCGCCCCCTCTGTCCTGTGCCTGTGATTTTTGCTAAATCCCTCCTGCTCCGGAGATGTGGGTCAGCACAGAGAATGAGAGAAAGAATAAGAAGACCGAGCTAGGACAGGCTGCTGGGGAGCAGGGTGACATTGTGTCCAAGTGTCCACAGATGGCCCCAGGCCTGCTGCCGAGGGCCAGTTGTACTTAGATCACTTCTGGCTGGCTTGAGTGTCTCACAGGATATCATCCAGGGGAGAGCCTCCTGGGGTGCCCCGGGCTCTGAAGAGGCCACAGTGGAAGAGAGACAGGCCAGCATTGTGGGACACCTGGATTCGAGTCCTGGTGGTGCCACTTGGTCCTCGCTGTGTGACCTTGGCCATGTTACTTAACCACTCTGTGCCTTAATTCCTTGCCTATAAAATGGACATAATAATAATAATCTGTTTTATGGTAAAAATCCGGGGGGATGATGCATGGAGAAGCCTTTTTCATGCAGTGTCTGGCCTTCAGTCCCCTCTGTGCGTGTTGGTTGCTGTCACTGGGGATGACGGTAACATTGGTGAGGGCAGTGGCTCTTCCTGACCGTTGGTGCTGGACAGGAGAGAAGGCCAAGGATTCCTGACAGCACGGGGTGGGAGACCCCTGACCCACCCATCTGGCCTCTAAGCTGGCTTCAGCTAAGCCACCCAGGACAGATGGGCCTCTGCGCTATTTGCTGAAATCCAGAGGGAACTTCCACTCTGCGGCGCCACCCCCACCCAGACCCTGGTGGCCAGAGGGCCTTAGGAGCTGGAAGTTCTGCTCACGGCCTGCAGGTCTCACCTCTCCACTAACCCTCTTCCTGGCTCTCGGCTGGACGCCCTAGGCCCTGTGCTGGGGAAGAGAGATTGATTGTTTGGGGGACATGGGGGAAGGGGATGGGAGTGGATGAGTGTGCCCACGTGTGTGTCCAGGAACTGTCCCCCGGGTGGGGCGGACATGCGCACCTGTTCTGTGGCCATCAGGAGCCCCCAGACTTAGGAGGTCGAGGGGCCCAGGAAAGAGGCCACCCCGCTCCTCGGTGTCATTATCTGCACAATGAGTGGAAGGATTCCCTGAGAGAGGGGTGGAGAGGAGACGCCATTACTGAAGTCCCTTCCTGAAGGCCGTGGTCTGCAGAGGTCCTGCTGGAATGCAGGAGGACACGTGGGCGGGTGTGCACGGTGCTTGGGAATTGGGAGCAGCAGGTGGATCGGGTGGATGGGGACAGCAGGTGGATCGGGTGGATGGGGACAGCAGGTGGATCGGGTGGATGGGGACAGTTCTCCGCCTTACCAGGAGGGGCAGGGAATGGGAACTCCTGGGGCTGTGGTGGCTTCAGCCCTTGAAGCCCGGGGATGGGTGACCAGCATTCTGTAGCCCCCGCTGAGGGCGCATCCTCTGAAGCACAACCAGGAGCAGCCCTTCTCTGTCCGCGGGTGTCCTGGCGAAGCCACGACCCGCTGGGGACCAGTGCTCGGGAGCAGTTTCCCGCCTGGCCTTCTCTATGCCGAGGAGGGCAAGGAGCTGCTGGTTAGCTTTTTTTTGGGGGGGGGGCTGTATCGGGGATTGAACTCGGGGGCACTGGACCACTGAGCCCCATCCCCAGCCCTGTTTTGGATTTTATTTATTTAGAGATGGGGTCTCACTGAGTTGCTTAGTGCCTCGCTGTTGCTGAGGTTGACTTTGAACTCGCGGTCCTCCAGCCTCAGCCTCCCGAGCCGGGGGAGTCACAGACGTGCGCCACCTCGCCTGGTTTGCTTGTTAGCTTTTGAAGACACACCCTCTCCAGATCTGGGGGTGCGAACCCCGCAAAGCAAATCTGCAATGGAAAGGTGGAGTACCTCTTGCAGTCCAGCCGCAGCCAGGGCCACCCCTTCCAGCCATCCACCAGGAGGGCTGCTGGGCCAACAGGGCCTGCCTGACGGTGGCCGCGCTCTCAAGTCAGAGGCTGCTCGGGCCAAAAAAAGGCCACCTCCCCCTGCTTCCCAGGGCACAGTCTCTAGGGCCATGGTGTTCACCCTGGCGCTCGGGCTTCAGGTCCCAGGGTCACAGAGGGGCCCCGGTCCCATGGCACATGCTGCCGGGCCACCCCCAGAGCAAGGCCCTAGAGCAGGGCTAATGAGGGAGAAGCCAAGGAGCTGAGGGCTCCGGAGCAGAGCTTCAGTTCACCAAGGGCCTCCTTCCAAGTGTCCCTTTGTTCCTGTGGAAGCACCATTTGGAGCTGTCCCCCGACTCTGGCCTTCTTCCTGCCAGACTTAGTTTACATACAAGGAAACCGGGGCCCCCTGAGGCCCAGATGCCCTTGCCACACACTTCCACCCTGTCCCCGTGGGCAGAGCAGCCGGGTCCTTCCACGAGGAACCGCTGGGCAGTCCTGCTTTCCACTTTCAGGAGTTTTCAATAAACGGCAGACGCGTTCAACACGCTAGTGTGGAGCAGGCTTGTGTCAGGGACGCTGCCCGGCTGTGCGCCAGCGTGAGCTTGTGTGCACTCTACCAGGGCCTAAGCCTGAGGGCCAGCAGTGCAGGTGCCCTGACTTGCCATACTTTCATGTTACGGTGGCTTCGAAGGACACAGCCCTCATCATAAATGGAGGAGTATGTGTAAGAGCGAGAGAGACTTCATTTAAGGAATTGGCCATACGTGATGGAGGCGGCCAGCCTCCAAGGTGAGCCGGCAGGCGGGAGAGCCAAAGAAGAGCTGAAGGCCTCCTGCTGGCAGAGGTCCCAGGTGCTCAGGGATGGCCAGGCTTCTGTTCTGCGTAGACCTTGGACTGATTGGACGAGGCCCACCCACAGTATGAGGTTGACCTGTTTTAAATGGGAATCTCCTATACACACACCTTCACAGAGATATCCAGAATAATGTGTAACCCAATATCTGGGCACTCTAGCCAACCACGTATGGACAAATAAAGTCCGCAGAACCCAGATGGGGCCAGCGTCTGTTGGAATTTGTGGAAGGAAAGATGGTCAGAGGGCAAAGACTGAGACAGTGCTGAGGTCTCAAAGCTCAGTATCCAGGTGAATACAGAAGCTGTCCTCACTAGGCTGTGTCCCTTTCCACCCAGGGCAGGGCTTGCACCTTCTTGCACTACTCAACTCTCCCACGAACATCCCAGGGGCTTACCTGGGTCGGCCTCTGTGCCCAGCATGGTGGTACCCAGGAGACGAGGTCAAGGTTGTCACTTCTGAGCACAGTAGTACAGGCAGGACATTTTTCTGTCAAGTTAAGAGACTCATTTGTCTCCTCCTTTCACTCCCCAGAGGAAATAATTGATGCCATTCTACCCTTCCTGCCTGGATGGAGAATCTGCAGCTCAGAGAGGCAGAGTGTCCAGGCCCAGGTCACACAGCAGGGCAAAGGAGAGAACTCTATCCCCTCCCAGCCCATCTCCTCCTCAGGCCTTTCTTCTCCTATGCTACTGCCCATGACCTCCAGAGATTCCTCTAGTTTAATGCAAATGCTCTATCAATAGCCCCTGGAGCACCACCACCCCCTCTGTCTTGCAGCTCAGGTCGCCCTGAAAGGATATATTTTTTTCAAATAAGTAATTCCTGTATGCAATAAAAAGATACACCATCTTCTGAGTGAAATATAAAGAGTTCACAGCAGCTGTCCCCCGTTTGCATTTTCCGCTGCACCTGATGGGAAGGACAGATAAAGATAATGGGATTTTTTTCTTCTTCTTTTTTTTTTTATTTCACCTCCCTCTCTCCCTGGAAGGTGGAAGTATAACAAATTGGATGGAGAGTGTGTCTGTCCTTTGTGCTTGGTGCCTGGAGCAGGGCACGGTGGCTGCAGGGGACACTGAGAGAGAGGTCACAGCTAGCAATTTTCTCTTGGTGCCATGCATATGAATACCAGGGTCACCTTCCCGTGGCCACCTGCCTCTTTAACTCTTCTTTGACCTGATGCACTTCCAGGAGGGACACCAGAGCCCAGTGTTCCAGATTCCAGAAGATCCAGGGACTCTGGCTCATCTCATGTCAGCCCTGCCTGACCCCCCAAATCCCAACCAGCCGGGGCAGGCGCTTCCCCGTTTACAAAGACTCAGTGCCTTAAATGCAGACGGTGTGCTTCCATTTAGGAATTTTTTTCTTTTAAGTGCCAACTTTCATATTCAACCATTTTCTACTGGAGAACAAGCTCATCACAATAAATTTAATTTTTTTAAAATACTTTTGCACACGTTCCTCTCTCCCACTTCCAATTTTCTGACCTTCCCAGGGGTCACTCTGACCCTCTATGGCCTCTCCCAGCTCTTTCATGTGGAGCCGTAGTCATCTCCACAGCCTGCGACTTGGGGTGCATGTGTTGGGGGTGCAGTGAGCCCCTGGGAGAACGAGCTTGCAGAGCCCCAGTGGGAACAGACAGGCCGTGAAGCTGGTCCCCGTGGCCACGTTGATTCCCTGGGCTCGGACCTGCCTGGTGGGTCTCCTCCGGCCCTTGCCTGCCTGCCTCAGCCCCGGGGCCTCCCGGGATGGGTCTCAGGGGGATGGCAACAGGCAGGATTGCGTGGGTCCAGAGGAGGTGTGCCTGTGACAGCATGTGTGCGGGTCCCCCTGTGTCCCCCTGCACACCTCCCCCATGACGGCCACAGCTAAGGAGGTGTCAAGTGTCCTGGGGAGCGTCTGCCTCTCGGTGTCAGGGCTGGTAGGTAGGGACCCCTCCTGGGTCCAGGCCAGTAGTGATGCCCTCAGAGTCAGCGACTCCCTCCAGGTTGGCTGCTGGAGATCCCTCCCCTTCCCTACGCCCGGATTCTCACTGCCCACCACACGTCCCCCCCGTACTCAGGGGCCAGCCCTGGGGCTCCCACGTCCCCTGGAGCATCGCTGGGCACTTCTGGTCCATTGCCTGAGCACCCCGAGTCTGAACCTCGCCCCCCCCTTCAGCCAGGCCTTCATATTTCCACGGTGGACAGAGGCGGCCACCCCCAGTGGGTCTCCCTGTGTCCTGCCCCACTGAGGCCTCCTCTTCCCATCACCTCTCCCAACCCCCGTGGCCCTAGCTCAAGTCCAGGTGCCTTGGCCTGGCACGCTGGACCTTTCTGGATTGGCTTCCTGACCTCTGGGGCCTCCCGGGTCTTCCTTCTTCCATGAGGACACAGTGCTCAAGTGCTGCCTTTGGACCCGTCCACCTGCGCCCTGGCCGTCGGCCAAGTGCCTGCTCATCTGTCCTTCACAGATCGGCCCAGCAGCACCCTCCTGCCCAGCAGCACCCTCCTGCCCAGCTGCCCGCAAGCTCCTCGCCGTCTCCCTCCTCCACGCCCTGTGCACTGGGGCTTCGGAGGCAGCTCTTCAAGGGCAAGGGCCTTGTGCATCCCAGGTCCTTGTTCAGCTCTGTCCCGTGTCCTGCAGTGCCGAGCCTGGTCCACGGAGGGCCCCCAGGACGTTAAATGTGGTTTGTGAATGAGTGAGGAGGGGGCTCTGAGGCCTTCCGGGTCCAGGTTTCTGCATGGTGGCCCAGGAGAGGCCTTGGATGGGACAGTGGATGTCCTCGTCTGGAGGAGGTGTTGGTCAGGAGTCACCCAGGATTCACCCCGTCATGGCTGATCTGGGCATCTCCCAGCACATGGTACCTTGGAGGCATTTTGGGGTCTCTCTCTAGGCCCCAAGTGCAGCCAACACTCTCTGTCTGGAGGCTCCGCGCTCACCTGAGCCTGCTGGCCATCGACCGGGTTGTCACAGTGCCCCCTCAGCCCTTCTAAGGTGGCCGCCCCACACAGAGCAAGGTGTGGGCATGAAAGGAAGTGTTTTTAGTACTCTTTATCGGCAAGTCGGGGTCTCTCTGGTGACAAGAATGCAGGTCTGAGGCTCAGGAGGCCCGAGTTCCACGGATTCCTGTTACTCTTATTAAATAAAACTAAGCCTACACGGAATCTGTGACCCAGAGAGCACAGAGTGGACCAGGGTGCTGTCCTTCATGTCTCAGGGTGGCAGGCCAGCTCCCCCCATCGTCCCCACTGCCCTTGGGATCCCTCCCTCCTGTGGTGGAAATGAGATTTCATGGGCTCAGACATGCAGATTGGGAGACTGGGCTGCTCCTGGGATGGCATAGAACCTTTTTTTTTTTTTAACCTTTCTGATATTTCAGAACAAAAGCACATAGCAATTTTTCTGTGTACAGGGTCACAAAAATAACAGGCTTAAGAGATCTAAGTGGACGGCCAAGCGGTCCCCTTGATTCCGGCTCACGATCCTTATGTTGGTATTTGAGGAAACCATCCCAACGGTTTGACATGAAAAGACAAAAATCACCACTTTGCAGATGCCCTGCCCCAGGCTGGGAGCTGGGCTGGGGTGACAGCAGGACTGGGCAGCCAGAAGGCCCCTTCCTGTAGCCCTTGAACCCGTGACCAAGGGCTGGCCTCTGTAGTGTGTGCAGCCTGCCCGCTGCACGGCCTCCCTGGTTGTAGGCTCAGCCGGCGGAGGAGCACGTGCCACCTCGAGAGCACGCCCAGGCACTGAGGGAAGGGAAACGTGGCCCAGGGAAACCTGCTAGTGGCCTTTGGGGACTCCTGAGTCCCAGAGTGAAGTAACTTTCCTGGTGTCAACCCTGGTCAACCTAGGGGACAGGTGACCTAAGCCAGTGCCCAAGCTGCACCCACATCCACCTTCCCCACCAAGACGACCCAGAGCCCAGGAACTGCTCCAGGGACCTGGGCATCCTGATGGCCTAGTCCAGTGCCCATGGAGCAGGCCCAGCTGGCTGGGGGCTCAGCAGTGGCCGGGCATGATGACCTCTAGGTCTGTCCTCCAGATCTTTTCATTTTCCCAGTCGTAAAATTAGAGAAGTGAGTGACAGTGATCTCAGAGCTCTTGCTGCTACAGTGGAAGTGCCTGGTCTTGTTTCTCAGTTCAGATCCCTTCCACCCTGGTGAACGGCAGCTCTCAGCTCACCTGCCTGTGGCCCCCTGTCCACTGCCGGGGGACATAAACACACATGCCACAGCCTCTTTCTACTGCTTGGAAAATAGGCCAGCACTGCCATCCTTGGTCCCCTCCAATCTTTCATCCATTCACTTAGTCACTGAATAGACACTTCCTCAGTGCTTCCTATGTCCCGTACACGGGCCAAGACAGGCTAATGAGGTCATCTAGAAGCCTTGTTTTTATAATCCAAGGACAATCTGTGCTCCTGCAGCTGTCCTGGGGAGACAGGGCCATCCCCTGCCCTACTTATTTGAATGGGGACATGGAAGTCAACTGACTCTCATTTGCTTACATAATTACTGGGCATGACTTAGGGCCAGAGTTACAGAGTCCCCAACTCCATCATCAAGGGGTGCCAGGATGGCTGCTAAACTAGAGCCTGGCCCTGGGCGGGGATCTTCTCCATCTAGACTTAGCAGGTCCCACGGCCCCGTCTGTGGAGGAGACCTCCTTCAGACTCATCTGGGGGGCAAAGGAGATGCAGAATGCTGGCCACCTTTGCGCCATGCCCCAGAGATGTCTTTGTGCCCCATGCAGCCACTTCTCCTTGGAGCTGGAGAGCCCCTTGCCCTATCCCTCAGCCCAGCCGGGTCTGCCCCAGGTCACAGCCCCACAATTCAGTTGTCCAGTGCGGGTGGCAGCACCGGCCACAACATGCATAGTGGAGACTGGATCAGTGCCTTCCGTATCACAAATGTGGCCAGGCCAGTAGGGGACCCGCAGCTGGCCTTCACCAGAGGGAAATGGGGTAGGGAATATGAAAACAAGTCTCCATGGTTCTTGGGGGAAGAAATCCTTGGCAGGTCAGGCAGAGACGGCCGGGCGACTCCGGGCAGCAGCCACTTGTGCTCTGCCTGGTGTTTTCTGCACGTCTCAGACTCGTCATAGCTGCCAGCCAGTGAGCCGGGCCTGGGCTGCCTGGAAACCAGATCTCTGGCTTCTCCACTGGAATATGTTGCATTTGAATTTAAGAGACTGCTTTTGCTGTTGGGTGCGTGCTTGTGAGAGTGGTGTGTGTGTGCATGTACCAAGCGTGAGAGCTGGCGTGCACGTGAATTTCCATGTGTGTTCATTTCAAAACCGGAACGTGCCCTTCCCCATCTGCACAGGATTTGTGCTAAGCAGGGTGCTGGGACCTGGTTGATGGGAAGCAGCCCCCTATTCTCCCATGTGTGACCCATCAGGGAGTACTTGTGTTACTGGCTCTAGGGCCCCCTGGGGAGAAGGGGGTGTGTACCTACAACATGGAAATCACTGGGTAGGTTACAAGGTTCTATTATCCGCATCAGCTTTGTGGGGCTAGGGGTCCTTCTGGTCATGAGAATGGGTCTGCATGCTTTAGCCTAGTCCCTCTTCCAACGGGGACCCACCCACTTGCCAGCTTTAGAGTACAGGACACACTTGGAACAGGTGTGTCCTGTACTCTAGCAGCATTGGTCTCACCAGCTCTGGGAGTTGACAAGCAAACACATGGCGGGCACTCCGTGACGACAGTGCCTCTCACCTGCTCACCGCTCTGCTAGGCACCTGGCGTGTTGTGGAGTGCTCGTTCATTCAGCCAGGGCCTCTTGAGCATCTCCTCCTTGCAGACGGGGCCCCTTACAGCAAACAGGTGGCAGGGGAGGACAGGGGCTGTTATCCCTGTTTGGGGCACATGGTGGTTGGGATCAGCACCTTGACTGGAACTCGGCCACTCTGCGCTGAGGACCTCTGCACTGGTCCTCACAGGAGCACGTTGGCCCTGGTCTACCTGTGAGTGCGTCCTGGAGATGGCCCTGTGCGGGTGCCCACAGAGCAGTCCTCAGGATCCCCCAGGGGCCAGAAGGCCTCTCTGAGATGCCACCTCTCCCCCTGCAGAGTGGCGACAAGGGAGCGGGGCGAGGATGATCCTGCAGGATGAAGACATCACCACCAAGATCGAGAACGATTGGAAGAGACTCAACACCCTGGCCCATTACCAGGTGAGGTGGACGTGGACAACAGGAAGTGGACAAATAGATAGCGTTTCCTTGGATGTCTCAGGCCTTAAATTACAGGGTCATCCTAAGACTGGGCACCAAGCCCCCAACCCACTTTCTCACCACTGGTCCATGTTCCTTTGGGGGCCCTGGAGAAACTAATGCCACCCAGCCAGGAACTCCAGCCTCCTTAGAGCCAGGATGCTGACCTGCGTGCTTCCCGCAGGTGTGGGCCGAGTCCCCAAGACAAGTCTCCTGCCTTAGATGTTCCCCTGCCCTTGAAGGCGAAGGAAAGGGGTCAACCTTCAGAGGCTCTTCAGCCAGGTGCTGATGGCCCCTCAGCATGGAGCTAATTCTCATGTGCCCCAGGTTCCTTGGTGGCAGAATTTCTGGGCCCAGGCCCTTAGAAGCCTTTTCCCTTAGGTGCCGGATGGTTCCGTGGTAGCTTTAGTGTCCAAGCAGGTGACGGCCTATAATGCAGTGAACAACTCCACCGTCTCCAGGACCTCGGCGAGTAAATACGGTGAGATCTCAGCGTCCACGGGAGGCGAGGGTTCCTGAGCAGCTTTGCTGTGGCAGCAGCATAGCTGGAGGGCAGCTGGCTCCCGGGGGCAGGAGTCGGGGGTGAGTTGGGCAGGCTGGCCACAGGGAAGAGAGGTGTCGGGCAGAGGCGCCTGATTCCAGCCAGTGACTGATGCATCAGCGGGACCTTCCTCCAGGAGCCAAGGGGGGACACCCCCCCCCCCACGAGAGTCTTGTAGCCCATAAGACACCTTTGTGGTGCTCATTATCTCGCAGCACGTTCATAACAATCCAGTGAATTAAATAATTATTATTTCCCCCTATTATGCAGATGAGTAAATTATAACTCATATGCAAAGACGCTAAATGACTGGTAAAGGTCACACCGTCATTATGCAGTGCAGGGAAGGGGCGGCCCCCCGACTGGGGCTCTATGATGGAGGAGAAAGGGTGCTGGATGTGAGATCTAAGCCCCAAAGATGGTGCCGTTCTGCCACTACCTCTGTGCTTCGACTGGACGGTCCACCTGACCACTGTGGGCCTCAGTGTCCTCATCAGTTAAACAGAGATGGAAAAAACATTCACCTCCAGAGGCTCACAGATGAACACAGGGAACGGTCCCTGCACCCAGTAGGCCCATCAGTGCACCGCATCTCACAAATACCGACAAGGGTCTCAGCCAATCAGTGGGCAGAGCTGGGGGAGCCGGAGGGGAGGACAGAGGCAAGCAGGTGCCAGGGTGGTCCCTCGGGTGGCCAGGGCTAATTAAGGAGACAGGCGACCTGCTCGTGAGCATAATTGGCCACAGAGAGCACATCCCGAGAATGCATACAAGGAAACGTGCAAGAGAAGTGCGAGCTTCTGTTTTTGCAAATTGAATAGTTGGGGGTTGACTCCATGGACAGCATGGGAGGAAGGGCCCAGGATGATCTGAGTGGTGGATTGAGCCCCAGAGATCACGGAGAAAGTGTCCCCATTTCAGGGAATGTTCAAAACTGGGGCCAGAAGTCAGTCAGTGCCCGCTAGTTGCAGGAGGGACCAGACAGTACTTGGGGTAGGCTGGGGCGAGGGGTACTTCGGAGTCCCTGGACCTAGGGGCTGTGTGGCCTCCCACATGTTGGGTTGTGGTCCTCACGTTGGCAGAAAATATGATCCGGTACACGGGAAGTCCCGACAGCCTCCGTTCCCGGACGCCCATGATCACCCCCGACCTGGAGAGCGGGGTCAAGATGTGGCACCTGGTGAAGAACCATGAGCATGGGGACCAGAAGGAGGGTGACCGGGGGAGCAAGATGGTTTCTGAAATCTACCTGACACGCCTGCTGGCCACTAAGGTACTGGACTGGAGGACAGTGAAGCATGGAACAGGACTTACCACCCCAGAAATCCAGGGCTGGCAAACCCCAGCAACTGGGCTCGTGCCCACCCTCTTACCCGCCCGTGGTAGGCACTGCCCACCAGCCAGGATTCTTTCCCAGGACAGAGCCTCAGGATCCTGCCCAGCCCAGTGCTCCAGGCCAATCCCACCAAGGTGTCAGTGTTGACTTGCAGCCTGAAGCTCTGTTCCCACCCCCTCTCTGTGCCTTTTCTCACATACAGAGCTGCTGACTGCACCTATTCACCTTCTTCCTCCATATCTTATGGAAGAATGGCTTCTTCTCGGGGGGATCTCATGGACTGAGCCACTTCCCAGCCCCTGTCTCTGATCCTGGTTCTGGGATGGTTCAGGCCTCTAGTTTCCCTGTCTCTCTCCTGGGCTCTGCTCAGCTCTCTGCAGGGCCCCAGGAGTGACTGTCCATTAGCTGGGCTGCATTAGGCCCAAACAGAACCAGCAGATTGTGTCTGTCTGCTGGCCCAAGTGCATGTTCATTAGCATTTTCTGAAAGTGCTAAAGTGGCCCTGCCAGAGGGTGGGAAACCAAACGTGTGGTTGGCAAAGGAAGGCTCGCTCGGGTCCAGCCATCCATGTCCTGTCTGCTTTCAGTGTGCAGGGGACATTGACAATTATCAAAGACAGGCGACGGGTGTGTATGGGGGGGGATGCAGTATGTGGACTCTCCCAGTTTCACCCAAGCAGAGAAGCGGTGCACTGTCCTCCCTGCACGCTCTGCAGGACCGATTCCCAGACTGCTCCTCAGAGCTGCGTGGGTGCAGCTGGGTCTCCTGTCCCCTCCCCAGGGCACTCTGCAGAAGTTTGTGGATGACCTCTTCGAGACCATCTTCAGCACGGCCCACCGCGGCTCGGCCCTGCCCCTGGCCATCAAGTACATGTTCGACTTCCTGGATGAGCAGGCCGACAGGCACGGCATTCACGACCCGCACGTGCGCCACACCTGGAAGAGCAACTGGTGAGCCAAGGGAGGTGGGGGCCTCGGAAGGACCCCAGCCTTCAGAGATGAGCTGGCCGTCCTCCAGCTTCAGCCCCAGGGCCCCTTGTAGGCTCATCCTCTGGTCCCTGCACCATCCCCCCACCCCATATTCTGCTGGACTTTTATGCTCACTTCCTTCTGGTCAAACCTGTCTGTACTTCCTTCTTTCCAATCAGTCAGTACATATTTATTGAACTATCTCAGTGAGCAAACACTCATGTCACAGCCAGGCCACCCTTACTGTCAGGGACCTCCCAGGGGTCTTGACAGTAGGCTAGACACTGAGGGTTCTGAGTTAGGCTCAGCTGTGTAGACAGACACAAACTGCGAGAGACAGTACCTGTGCTCACCTGGGAGGTAGGGGGCAGCGCCTCATGGTGACTTGTAAGTGGGGTTTTGCAGCAACCCGGGAGACTCTGGCTGGACAAGGGCATTTCCACTCTATTCTATGTGCTCCTCTCCTCTCGGTCCATGAACTCCTTTTCTAAGCTCTGGTTGGAGATGAGACCTGTCCACAACCACCTCGTTTTCCCTGGAGATCACAGGATTCTCTAAGTCCGTATGGCACTCTAGGCATCTCCACGATGGCCCTCTCTCCTTTCACCATACAGCATCCTTCTCTTCATTGGTGTGTGGTCTGTGCTTCAGGCTGAAATTGCAAGGTCAGGCATCAGCATTCAGCACGCGCTGCAGAGCTTTGCCCAGAGTGGGACTCAGTAAATATTGATGAGACGCAGGGCCAGGGTGGCCTCTGTTTGGGAGTTCTACCTCGGGCAGGGCTGGCTGATATCCAGTCCCTTCCATTCCAGAATCGCCTCCCTGTAGCTTTGCATGGTCCATGTTCCAGGTCGTTCTTCCCCACATCATTCTTCCAAGGCAGCGTGGGCTAGTTCCCGGGCACCTACCTTGGCTAGGACTGGCGGTGCACGAGCAGCCTGGGCCAAAGGAGAACACGAGAAAGTGGGAGTCAGGCTGGGGTGCGGGACCTCATTCCCTGTGGCACGCTCTGGCTTCCTCATTCCTCCCCGGGAGAAGGGAGCTCCTTCAGGGAGATTATAACCCCAGACCCGAGGGAGGATTGGCCCACAGAGCTGAAGAGTGAGGTCTATACTAACATGGATGGGGGAACCGTCGTGGTGGAATTTTCCAATCTTTCCAACCAGCAATGCTGGGTTTTCCACGCTCTCCTCTGTAAGTCCTACCTCTCCCATGCCTGCCTCCAAGGAGGTGGTATTTCCTTCCCCCCAGTCTTCTTGGCATGCCTCGGGGAGAGTCTGAAGGTCCCCAGCCTCCCCAGCCTCCTCTCTCTATCGGTGAGTCTCCCCACTCTGATGTCTGTAACCCTCTGGATATAGTAAGTGCACTACCCAGATCTTCTCTGGCACATGGCCCGGGCTGAGGAGAGCTGGTCCAAGTACCCAGATGCTGTAGCACAGAACTCCAGGTCCAGGCAGAGGAAATCCCAGGAAGTAGATGGCAGCACCAGGTTCAAGGTCTCCCCTCAAAAGACATTCCCCACAATCCTGGGCAAGAAGTAGTTAGTTGAGATTCATGAGATCCGCAGACAGACCCGACAAAGAAATTGTTTCTCTACTCCTGGCCCAAGGTGTAAGTCAGCCTCTCCCACCCACTCCCTCCACCGTTCCCCACCTTCTCTCTTTTAAATAAACCTCCTGCTCATTTAGCCTGAGTGGCTGCAATCAGCCAGAGATTAGTGGCACCTCTGATGTTAATAATATGCTAATATTTCATTAGGCGGGAACCTCGTGGCACCTTGGCATCCCCTGTTTGATGGGCCTGTCTTCACAACCTGCTTCAGGGAGACTTGTGAGAGGTGAACCAGAGCAGCCCAGAGTCCCTGTCCTGGGTGGGCCTTCTGGAAAACTGAAGAAGAGCTGTGGAAGGGAGACTGTGAGCTGGGGAGCTACGAGTTTCTCATTTAGGGCTCTCAACCCAGCGGTTAGGCTGGGTGGTGACAACGACCCCTCTGTCACCCATGTGCCCTGGCTCTCTGAGCTGCCAACCCATTATTCCCTGTTCTGGATTTCTAATGACAAAGCAATGCCACGAAACCTTGTCAGACCTCAGTGTGCCTGGGCTGCACCCTTGGCAGGGACCTACTAGACACCTGTGAATGGCCCGGCAGTCTGGGATGTCAGGTCCTACTGGATCTACACACTTATCCTCTCTACAGACCGGCTGCTAGCAGCTTCGAGGATAGAGATATTGTCCTCGCTGCACTGAAATGATGTCATTCAGAGAGTTTAGATTTCTAAGAGGCAAGCAAAACACAGAGCGTTGTGACTCTCACCAACAGTGAGAGCAGCCACCAAAACCACAATAAAGCGTCAGGGGAGAATGGCAGGAGGTGAGGGGTTGGGAGCAGAGGGAGGGAAACGGGCAGCTCCATGCTGGGTCCATCTCGGCTTCCTCATCCCATCTCAGCGAGCTGGCTGGAAAGCCAGGGGCCAGAGCCCGAGCCAGGGCAGGGGAAAGCATCTCCCCATCGCCAGGTCCTCTCTAGCCATACACAGTGACTTAAGTACTGGACCACACCGTGCAATTTTCTCCTCCTTATGTCTGTTTGTGCTGACTGCACCTGCAGCCTGTCCCGCCTCTCCGCCAGGCCTTGCCCAGCTAGGGAACACCGACACGTGTTTCTGAAACCCAGACCGCCACACGTCACCTCTGCAGAGGCTTTGTGGACACGGCCCTCGCCGTGTGCCCCCTGGGTCCCACACTGACCCCTTCACATTGTGCGGTCCTGGCACCCATACCGCCCAGCATGCACCTGGGGGCGGGTCTTTTCTCCCTCCACACCCACCGCCCACAGTTTCTTGAGGATGCGGGATGTGTGGTTCATGGTATCCTCTGCAGCTGGCTCGTTCCTGGCAGGCAGCAGGTGCTATCTGGAAGGGGGCGGGGACACAATGGGACATATGAGGGGCTGAGTGTGTCATGAAGAGTCACTGAGCTACACTCTCAGCCCCAGGGCCTTCAGAGGCAGGAAGCAGCCCGTGGGACCAGGCAGGGAGTGGGAGGAAGCAGGTGGCTTCTACAGGGTCATCCAGTCTGTGGCAGGAGGTCAGACACCAAGTCCAGGCTCCAGATGATTCCAAAGCTTTCCAACTAAATGCTGTTTGGAAGCGGACAGTGGAATAGAGTTTGAAATTCCACTTTCTAGCACACATCATGGTGCCTCTTACACCAAGGGGAGGATCAGGAGTCCTGCGTCACAGTTGGGTATCAAGTGGTCTCCAGTACCTTTCAGTATTGCGTCTCTGCACGAGTGATTCACCTTGCTGATCTGCAGTTTCCTGGGAGGTAACTGGAGCCCAGGAGAGCAGCCCCACACCCCATCCCTGCACACCCCGTCTCTGGCCTAGAGAAGGCACCTGAGCACCAGGAGGTGCCTTGCCACCTCCTGTTCTCCAGAGAACCCTCCAGCCACATCCCAGCTCGCTGCCCCCTGGCCCCTGACCCTCTGCCCCTTCCTCTGCACAGCCTCCCCCTGCGGTTTTGGGTCAACATGATCAAGAACCCGCAGTTCGTGTTTGACATCCATAAGAACAGCATCACGGACGCCTGCCTCTCCGTGGTGGCCCAGACCTTCATGGACTCCTGCTCCACGTCGGAGCACCGGCTGGGCAAGGACTCGCCCTCCAATAAGCTGCTCTACGCCAAGGACATCCCCAGCTACAAGAACTGGGTGGAGAGGTGAGTGTCGGGACCAGGCAGCAGGGGGAGGGCCCCTGGCTACAGTGCCCACGAGAGGCCCTCCCCAAATCCAGGCTGGCACCTCCCAAGGCTGGTCCTGCAGATTGGCAGGCACACCCCACAGCCCCAGTGATGTCGTCCACTGGACAAGAACCAGGAACTCAGCTGGGACTAGCCTCTGGGCTGTGCTGGCCTGTTTGGAAGGCCGTGGATCTTGATGACTGAAGTGTGTTCTGGGCCCAGGAAGGAGATATGGTTCCCGGCTGTAACCCTCAGTCCCCACATACATGCATGCTATACACACATGCATGCCCTATGTGCATAATACATGCCACACACACAATCATATGCCACATACACTTGTATATACACATGCCATACATGCACATGCATCAAGCATGATCCATATGTGAATGCTATACATGTATGCATGCCCTATATACAGTGACACACACACACACACACATGCACACACATACATACCATACGTAATCCATGCATCCATCTATACATGCATATCTACATGCAAAGACACATGTGGTGCATGCACCTATACATGCATGTTCTACACAGGACGTACATAATGCTGCACATATGAGCATACAGGCCTCACGTGCACGCACTTTGATCATAAATGTGCAAGGTTCCCAGTAATGTCTCGCCATAAAAGACTTGAGGCCTCCGCCCGTCTTCCTGTCCATCTGTCAATTCTCCCATGGTTCTATGGGCGTGGCAACCCCGCCCCCTGGACAGTCTCCCACTGTCCCAGCCCCCTCACTATCACCTGACCAGCTCTTTGTGCCCTGGGTGTGTGATCTCAGCCATCACACCCACCTGCTCACTGTGTCTGGCAGTCACGTGTCTGCTATGGCTCAGACCCACCTGTCAACTGAGGCTCCTGGCTCTCAGTCCCCGCCAGCTCCTGGTAGAGAATGTCATGGTTCATCTGAGCTGCGGCAGATCCATAAGGCGAGCACCTGAGCTACAGCCAACTGGGACTGGATGCATCCCTGTAGTCCCCTAACGTGAGAGGACAGGAATTGTGACTTCCTTTCTTGCTGGTCAAGGTGAAGAAATATTCATACAGGATGACCAGGCAATTAGCCCAAGATGATCTAAGTGGCCACCATGAAACTAGATCCCAAGCCTCTTAAATGACTCCCAAATCTTACTATTTATGAAGCTTTCAAACAGAATCCCTGCCAACTCATACTGTACTTCTGGGTAGATCAAGGAAGGGGCTCCTTTCTATAGGCAGATGTCACCCCACCATAGGGTGTGGGTTTGCTGAATAAGGAGTTAGTTGTTGGAAACAGTTCTCATTTAAGTACCTTTGTGCAGTGAACCACCTGCACACCTCCCCATGGCCGTTTTACTCTTAGATTACCTTTCTCTTTTTTCCAAGTAGCATAAAGATAAGAAATCTGGATGGAAGTTCACTTGTGGTGCCCTTTGGAAGAATAAAAGAAACCAGAAATTGTTCTTGCCTTAGTGATTGAAGACATAATGAACAATATCATTTTACCCATGGCAGAGAAAGGCAGTCTCCATCTTTATTCTAGAACATCACCTCCTCTTGTACCCAGGGAGGAACTGAGAGGGGGTGAGTCCTGGCCACCTCAGAGAAACAGTTTCTTTCACTAAAAGAGTTTAATTTGTCTTCTGTTCTGTTTTTCAATACCCTCCCCTACTTTCCTACTGTGGCCTGTGATGGATGTCACAACCTGGCTGTCAGGGAGAGAGCCACATCTTTGTCCTCATGTCAGATTATCCCGGTCACCCAGGGGGGCTCTCATCGCCCTCTGCGTAGACAGCAGTGCATCCTTCCCACAGTAGGGCTGCCGGGAGCGAGCCCTCGTGTGTGGCCCCTGCTTTCTGCAAAGAAAGAGGAAGAGGCAGCATTTGGACTGTGGGTCACCCCTGCACTGATGAGGGTCACTGAGCCAGAACCCTGGGTGGTAGAGAGGAAGGAACAAGGGCAGGGAAGGGTGGGGACATTTATAAGGATCCGTGTAGAGGACACTTCCTGGACAAGGCTGGGCAGTCCTGGGTGAGACCAGTGCACTGCTGGGCTAATGGTCTTCCTCTAGGTGGGTTCTAAGTGAGACCGGCTCATGCAGCTGCTGCTGGTCACGAGGAGCCTGCTGATTGGCTCTTTAGGTAATGGCTTCCATTTCTTATCCCACTAGTTTCTTAGCAACCACGGGCACTCCCAGGAAAGTCATCTTTCTCTTGCTTAATGTCCCAAATCCTTCCTCCTCCCGTTTAGGAGGGAGCAGGGGTAGAAAGACAGAGGGATTGAGAAAGAGCAGGGGCAGTCGGGAGATGGAGCTGAGCACTCCTGCACTTGGTGAGGAGTGGACAGGTCCACCCTGGCACACCCCATGGTGCTCAGCAGGCTCCTCGTCCTCACAGCCCTGTTGGGCTTCTGCTTGTGGCCAGATCTAGAAACAGGAAGGAGACTCTTGGTTCCCCATGAACAGTTGTCTCACAGAGCAGAACTCCAGCCTTGTCACCGTGAGCTCCTGTGTCCCAGTCGGTCACAATCTCTATTTCGTGGCCAATAGCAGTGGACGCTGCAGAGTCTGGTGGTGGTTTCATCTGATTTTAACTTGGAAGAGCTTCAGAGTTATCCCTGCGGAAGCAGTGAACCTCACCAGGAAGTGAGGGGAATCGCGTCCCGGCTGGCCCCCCAGCACTGGATGAGGGTCGGCCACACATTGGAATGCTATCTGTCACGTGTCACGGCATGAAGAAGGTTGAGGTTTTAGATACTTTAATATGCCTCCTATGGCTCCCTCCATCCAAGCTTATAAAAGGTGACAGCTCGCCTCGGAGCAGTACCAAAGGTGAGACCCAGACGTTCCCCTGACCCATGCGTCCATCCACTGGTCAGTCATGGGTTTGCCATGGGTGTGGCGGGCACTTGGAAGGTTAGACTGGATCCTTCTCTGCAGCATCTAGTTGAGGAGGAATATAGGAAGGTTCTCAGCCAGACCCACAGCTGCGCTCTGGGAGTGAGGCCCTCGTTCTCCTGGGCCTGGAGACAGCAGCCAACGGTTCCCAGGGGAAGACTTACGCAGGGCCTTGGAAGCCGAGTTGGGGGATATCCGAGTGTCTTCTACATCTGCATCCCCATCCTTGAGGTGTTTGGAGGGACACCGATTCTTTTCTCTTCTTGAAGAATTTGGAGTATTCAAAGCCATCTCCTCTGTCACAGAGAGCTTTCCCAAAGGCAGAGATGAGACCTGCCATCCCACCTGACCCAGGATTTCTGCCAGGACGCCCTCACCCCACTGCAGACGGGTTGACAAAGGAGAATCCAGCTTCCCAGGTCTTGCCCAGAGCGCTGACCTCAGGCCCCCAGCCGGCCTCCTCCCTGGGCTAAGGAAACACAGCAAGGAGAGCTGGCTGCCGCTGGTGGTGGGACCAGACCCACCTCACAAGGCCAGTCCTGGGCCAGCCTTCCCGCCTACCAGGCCCTGGCCAGCTCCAGGGGGTCCTCGGGGACTTTTCAGAGCCCCAGTCCCTTCTGAGAAGGGTGTGTAGGGTTCAAGTGCGAGGGGTCTGGACTGACCTTTCCCTTCCCCGCTACACAGCCAGCTGGTGAGAACACTTGTGGGAAGTTCATTAATTGGGGCTTAAGAGCATTCCTCACAGTCAATGAGGCATCTCTGTGGAGGGTCCCAGGACAGGAGCCAGCCCAGCAAAAGTGAGAAGGAAGCAATTGTACCCACCGCAGAGAAGGTGCCATGGGAGTCATTGTCAGGCTCCAGGCTGGCTAAGGGGTGGGCGGGGGAGAGCCCTGGAGCGGGCATTAGCCAGACCCAGCAGAGAGGATGGGCACTCAGCTGCAGCAGGCCTGGGGCTGCTGGCCATGGTTCCAAAAGCGAGAGAAACCAGGCTTCTCCTTTCACCCAAGAGGCGTCTCGAGATGACCCTGGGCTGGGCGAACCCATCTTGCTCGGCAGGTGTGGGACGCCCGAGGGGACAGTGCCACACATCTCCTGGGGAATGGCTATTCTCTTGCTGTGAGGTGGGACACTGGCATTTGCTGTCTTCCAGAAATAGAGGCCATGGATGGAGACTCTGCTGGACTTTTACACCTGGAATGTCATGAGATCCCCGAGCCCTGTGCATGGGGCATCTGGGGAGCTGCTTTGGGGTGGCTCTAGGCTCTTCTAGGGATGGAGCAAAGGCATTGAAAGGGAGCAGGATGAGACAGGAGGGGACAGTGGGCAGAGAGGGTGGTGACGATGGCAGCAGGTCATCGTCAGGGCCCTCAGCTGCTCTGAGAAAGGCCATATTGTTAGTCCTTGTCCTCGTTGCCCGTCTCAGCAGCCTGTCATGAGCCAAGGCCTCCTGGCCAACCCAAATGTGACCGGTTCCACAAGGCAGGTGGCACTGTGTGCGGTGTGGGTCTGGGTCCCCCCAACCAGCCCCTTTTGTCCCCAGAGTGCAGTCTCATGTCCCTACCTCTGCCTTCCCTGTCTTCCAGCCAGCGACAGGTCTGCAGTCCCAGGGCTGTGGCTCAGGCAGGGTGCCCACCTCAGCCCTTGGCTGCCAGGAAGGTTGGTGGCAAATGGAGCTATCATTCTGAGGCTGGCCCTTGAGCTGACAGTGGAGGAGCCCTGCAGTGTCATTTCTGCCAGCTTGTCACCCAACTCCTGGGAACTCCTGGGGACAGGTGGAAGTTAGAGACACAGCACAGGACTGATGGGTCCTGGTCAGAGCAGTGAGGGGTGTAGGCTGGGAAAGACACAGGGTCAGAACACACAATAAGAATGTCCCCAAATCTCTGAGAATGTCCCCTATGCTCATCTGATGCACCCTTGAGTCCTGGGACTCCCGGGGCCTGTCACCGTCACCAGCCCTAGCACGACCCCACGAGCAAATGCCTCTCCTTAGCCTTGGTGCCCAGGTGCCTGGTTTGCTGTGCCCACCCTGCAGTCTTCCTCCTGGTTCCTGATTCTAGGGCCTCCGAATGGCTTTCTCTAACCCAGAGCCCCGGGGACTTAGAGTGGGCTGGGCCGGGCAACCCCAGGGCCCCTGGGCCAGCCGTGCTTCGTGGCTTTGTAGTTACCTGTTCTCATTTTTACAATCTACAGTCCCAAAGCCCAGAGGAAAAGGGGAGAAGGAACCGTCATCAGTTCCTCATTAGGAAACCGCGCGGCTCCCCTCTGGCGGGGGAGTTGGGGTCTGGTGCATAAAATGTCAAATTGCAGAAATTAAAAATGTAAATGCTGGCATCTAATTAACCAGTTGACAGCAGTGCACAGCTGCAAGTGACAGTGACTGATTGCCTTCTGCCAGCCTCTCTCTCTGAGCAGCCCCCAGCCCCACCCCTCTCTCACTTAACCCCCAGAGAGCGGAGGATATGGGAGAAGAGCCACTGTTGGAAGGAGCTTGGGGCCACTGGAGGAGACCCGTGCCCTCAGGAGGGAACCCTGCAGGGACACCAGCAGCTGGAAGCTAAGCAGAGGCCCCCTTCCTCTTGGCCCCCTGTGTCCACCCTCTGTCACTGTCTTGGCCACTCCCCAGATCCTTCTCTCAGTTCCTCCAGAGCTGCGAGAGCTTCTCCTGGACCTGACACAGAGGCCCAGCCCCAGAGGCCACTGTGGTCCCCACATGACTCCAGCTTCTCTCCCTTCCCGTCCCTGGGCAGGTATTACTCGGACATCGGGAAGATGCCGGCCATCAGTGACCAGGACATGAACGCGTACCTGGCGGAGCAGTCCCGGCTGCACATGAGCGAGTTCAACACTATGAGCGCCCTCTCGGAGATCTTCTCCTACGTGGGCAAGTACAGTGAGGAGGTGAGCCCGCCCTGCCCTGCTGAGGCCTGGTGGGGAGAGGAGGGCAGAGATGGAGAAGCTCCGCATGCCTCGGTGTAGAAGGCCAGTCCCAAGACACACCCCCTCAGCATCTCTGCTGGGAGCTCTACCCCCAGGCTGCAAAGACTGAGACACCAGGGAGGCGTCATTCCGAGCCTTCTACATTAGTCCCTGATCTTCCCATACATCTACACACCTGACTCTTTCATTTATTCTTATTTTCTTCTCAATATTCCTCTTATTTTCCCCATTTCTCTAATTCTTTTTTGAATAGCACCTTCCCACTCCCATGGACAGTCCATAGGGTATGGTAGAGTTTTGTAGAGAACAGAACAGACTAGAAACAGAATAGAATATGGTGGAATAGAAGGAATGGAATGGAATAGAACAGTAGCAACTGAACAGAACAGAAGCAGAATAGAATGGGAGAGAAGAGAAAGGAATTGAACAGAATGAGAAAGGGAAGTGACCCAAACCAGCAGACAGGGGCAGGATGGAATGGAACGGAAGGCGCTTTCAGTTGGGTTCCCTTGTTGGAAATCTCCAGCTGGGATAGTCATCACCATAGATTCTGCCTTCTTTCTGGTCAGTATAAAGGTCCTATTGGCTACGCAGGTGTAGACCAAGTGGATTGGAATCCAGATTCCCTGCATTGGAGCACAGCATAACTGTGGAAGATCAAAACAAGACTGGAGGCCAGCACTCCAGGGTCTCTCCTTCCTCACAGTCTTGTCACTCAGAGAGGGTCCAGGAGAGTCTAGGAAACCCCGGCAGGCCTGGGGCCTGGTGTCCTAGAGGTCATGAGCAGTACAGTCTGTGAACCTCAAGGCAAAGAAGAAACAGCAGAGCCTCTTAGGGGATAGACCCTGGAAACCAGTCCACAGGAGAGAGTTTCCCCCTCCTGTGGCAAAGCATGAGAGTCAGGACGGTGTGTGATACATCTGAGTAAGTGTGCAACTCCCTCATCTTGACCAGGACTGTCCCTTCATCTGCCAGTACACTTGTCTTGGTGTCAAAATGTCCTGTCTTTATGAAATGATGGCAGTTGTTGGCCAGCTCACAAGTAGACTCTTGCACAGTCTCCATTAAAAAGTATCAGCTGGCATAAGATCCAAAGTTCTGGGAGCCTCCCTGGAGCTAGAATCCTCCTTTGTCCTCCTTCTCCTCCTTGTCCCTTCCCCTCGGGTCCCCAGCCACCATGCGTACAGCCCAGGTGCCTCCCGTGGAGCAGGTAGACTGCCTCTCGTGGAGCAGGACTGCTCAGAGCATTCCCAGTGTGCCTGATTTTATCCTCTGCACTGGAGCAGACCAGGGATGGATGAGTAGTCCCTACGTTTTGCCAGTAAGGAAGGGGATTCATTCAGAAAAATCACCTTTTGCCCCAGATCATCCAGCTGGAGACTGGCAGAGCCGTTCCTCAATCCTGCATCCCCTGAGTCTAAGTGGAATCCTGACGGACTGTCCCCAGGCACCACAACCACTGTCACTGTCCTCTAACAACCACCTGACCCCAGGAAAGGCTTGGGCAGACCTGATCCATTAGGTGCTAATGGCCAGGAAAGCTTACAGCCTCACACTTGCAGGGATATTTGTTTCTTAACAGGCAGAGTTAAGCCAAGTAATTTTCAAAATGTGGACATCCAGCCTCAGGCAGCTGATGGGGAAGATTCTCCTTTTTAAGAAGGAGGGATGAAATCACATTTCTGTGAAATCCCATTCCCGCTGGACATGGAGCACACACTTCCCATCAGACACGGAGCTCTCTGCTGTGAACTTGTTGTGACCAGGGCCCCTGGCCCTGGGCATCTTCAACAGAGCGTCTGCCTTCTGTCGGCTGCCTCTCATGAACAATGGAAGGCACACAGTTGTGCAGACATGACAATGTGTGTGTTGGCATCCTGGGCTCCTGGGCCTGTGGGCGCCCACATGCTGTGTCCTATGTCCAGGTGCCTCCTGTGCCTCCCTACCTGTGCTACCCAGGCTGCCACTTACCCAGCAGTGTCGTGTGTGCATCTGCGAGTACACAACTTCCCACCCTTATGACCATGTCCGCTGGTCTGTGTATGCCCCGAGAACACACAGGTGTGCACCTCATCTAGTAACCCCTCCGTTCTTGTCCCTTTCACAGATCCTTGGACCTCTGGACCATGATGACCAGTGTGGCAAACAGAAATTGGCCTACAAACTAGAACAAGTCATAACCCTCATGAGCTTAGACAGCTGAGAACCGTCCTTCCAGGGCAGCCCTGGAGGGAGGGACACACCAAGCCGTGCCTCAGTCTAGATTTCATCTTTACCAAGTGCAAGTTCCGACTGGCATCAGCAGCATCCCCTGAGCAGCGCTGTCTCCCCGGCCCCCGCCCTCTCTGCCTCTCTCTGCCTCTCCCTCCTTCCTGGATCCCTTCTCGTTCGGTTGCTCTGCCAACACGCTTGGACCAAGCCGCCAACCCTGAGCCAGGGGTGGCCAGGCCCACAGTGAGGGACCTGTCCAGAAGATATCAGAGTGGGGCTCTCTTTCCAGCTGCTCCTGACTTCATGCAGCCGCAGCCGCCACAGGGCCCAAATGTGGATGAGGAGCTGTGGACAGAGGACGTTTCTATGCTGCTACTTCACCTTCCGCTTGAGAGCCCCGGCTTTGGTCCTGAAGTTGGCCTGGGGAAGAGGCAGTGGGCTCAGTATTGTCCTCACGGAAGATGTCACGTGGCTCGCCCTTCCCACAGTCCATCTGCAAGAGGTCAGTCGGGGTGCTTCGCGACTGTGAGAAGATAGGCCTCACCTCCTCCATGTGGCTGGAGCAGGGAACATGTGGGGGCTGCCTCCCACCTGTTGGGTCGACGCCAGAGGCCTCCTGTCCCTTTCCAATCTCCATGAAGCCCTTCCAAGTGTCCATGTGGACCTGCCTGCCCAGCCTCCTCCCCTGCCTGGGGCAAGCCAGGCAGGAGAAAGAATAGCACTTACATTCCACCACGGAGACGCTCCTAACCTTCAGATCTGGCTCCTAGCAGCAGGAATGTCATGTGGAGGGGGAGAAAAGAGAGTGGCATCCACCATGGGAGCAGCATCTGTTGTTCTCCATTCATCCCCAAATTCCAATGTGTCACCGCCATCGTCATAGGTCTAGTCCATGGCCAGAGCCTTAAGTGCTGTCTAGAGAAGGCATCTCCACCCTCCTTGGTCACCCTTCATCAAGGGTCAGCGTGAAATGCAGCGTGCATCCAGGAGATTCTACCTCCAGCCGTCTCCAAGGCTCCATCCCCACCATCCTTGAGAACTCCATAGAAGGCCAGGGCGGACAGTCCTGTACCTGTCCCCCCTGCAGAATCTGGTGCCATTGCTATGCAGATGACTTTGTCACTGGGCTGTCCAGACCTCCTTGGGAATCATTTCATAACCATCTCAGCTGTGTCTTCAGACGTACTCCTTCCTGACCCCTTCAGCAGTCCTCACGGGACTGCCCCAGCACAACCTCACCATGACCACCACCCACCGTGGTCCCAGCTTGTCGTGTCTGGGAGGGACTGGAAAATGAAGCTAAGGGACCTGAATGGAAATGGAAGGAGGGACATGGAACTGACCACAGCCTTGGCATCCATCTCTCCACTCATCCTTGCATCTATGGATACCCCATTTTAGCCAGTCAGGCAAATGTGTGCTCAGAAATGTGTACTAGGTAAGCGGAGGCCATGGCGAGAAGTATTCCAGTGGTGGGTCCTGGGAGCTTATCATCTTGAAGGGACCTCCGGTGCTGTGTGGTCCAGTCTCCACCCTAGGCAGGAATCTCTTCTGGAGCTCTAGTTGTCGGCCATTCTGGGCGACCAGGAGAAGCATCATGGCAGGTGGTGTTGATAAGGATCCCACCGTCACTCTCTAAGCACCAGATGTCCTTCCTCGTCATCCATCAAAGTGAGGAAGGAGCCACATCATTTCCAGCCGAGTCCATGCAGCATCCTGCGCTTGAAGTCCCTTCGCCCCTTTGGATATGAATAAATGCGCGTGTGCGAGCGCACGTGCTCGCTCGCTCGTGTGTCTGCCCCAGGAGTAGGCACAGCGCTCCGGGAGATTTCTTGTCCTATGTAGGAGGATGTTGACGTGTTTTGCTTCTCTGTCCCCTTGCTCATCCGTTCATCCTGCAGCTTCGGGACATTTCAACACTTGCTTTCTGTGCTGAGTGCTAGTGGGTGGGGAGGGGAGGGGACCTGTCCATAGGCGATCAGGGTGGTCACCTGCCAAGGCCTGGACTTTGATGACCCAGAGTAGGGCATCTCACGGCATTTCAGAGGACATATGGAAAAAGACACAAGCCACCTAACAAACGGGAAGAGGAGAATGGAAGAAAAAGATGCATTTGAAAGGAAAAATAAATAACCAAAGGTTTTGGTACATGGCCAGGTGGGAAGTGAGGAATTTTCTTGATCATTTTATTTCCTCCCAAGAAGTCATGGGACCTGACAGGCCAGAAAGGGTGCATGTGGGAGGCAGGCTGAGGAGGCAGCTCAGCCACCGAAATGTTTTTGCACATACGAGAGGTTGGGAGGAGAGAGACACAAACCTATTTAACACAGATTTACTGGATGGAAGCTATGGGTGTGTGTGTGTGCGTGTGTGTGTGCGTGTGTGTATATGGATACATTTTGATTTATTTTTAAAGTTTTGCACAGTTAGAGGAAATATGTGAACAAGTAGAAAAAAAAAGACTGTTATGGTTTTGCTGAAGCTTTTATTTTTTACCTGATGATTATTATTGTTGTTATTACGTTGTCGGTACAGGACACCCCCACCCGCTTGTTTTTGTTATAAGCAAACCTTCGAACACCTCAGAGAAACCTAAATTTCAGGAAGAAAGCAGAGAGGAGGACAGACCAGGGTCCTGTCTTTCCTCGCTTCTCCCTGGACAGGGCTTTGGGGAAGATGTTACCTTCATTTACGGCGTGGGTGGTGTCTGGTGCTTCATTCACTCACGGTCTCCACGGCCTGTTGGGGATGAGAAATTGGGTGGTCTCCCAGAGCCATGACCCATCTTGCCCATAAAGAGTCTTCTTTCCTTTGTTTTCTGTTTCTTCTGTTTGGCTTCTTGGTGCCAGAGTGAGAGGTGCAACAGCAGAGAGATAGGATATGGTCCAAAAGCTGTTCTTTTCCCTCTAGCTCCTCCTGGAAGGTCAGACACCCAGAGAGCTGGCCAGCTGGGCACAGGGGTTCCCAGAGTGAGTGGCCCTGTGGGACAGGTGTCCTCGTGGCCTCCCACCGCGTCACCGTCCATCTGCAGGGTTGCAGTTCTGTAGAAGGAGGAACCAGGGGAGCAAGGCAATCTCCTGAGCTCCCCTCCACTCACCCCTTCACCGCCCTTGAGACCACAGGGTGAAAATACCCCAGCCAGGCGGAGAGGCTGAATGTCGGGGGCGAGGGGCTGATGTCAGGGAGGGATGTGGGGCAGGGGAGCTCCGTGGGGTCCTGGATGTGAAAGAGTGGGTGGAGGAGGTGGAGAAAGATAGCTGTGAGAGCTTCTCCCTTCTCCTGGGGCACACTGTCTCCAGGCGTGGACTTGGGCCCTTGGTCCTTCCCTGTCAGGAGAGTCCCTGACATTTGTTGGCCACTGCAGATAGTGCATGAGGTGAAATCAGCGATGCGTCAGTCACTTCCTCAGGAAAATACTTTCTTGCCTTCTTCTTTCAATAGGGTCTTAAGTTTGGGGACGGAGAATAACCCCAGTGTCCCCCAGGCCAAGGTACGTTATAACCCAGGTAACACAGCCAGCCAGAGGAGCCCCCGGCAACTCCCACCTAAGCTAGGGTGCCTCTGGGGGTGGGCTCAGGGTGCTTGAGTGGGGCCACATCCAGGAAGAGAAGCCCTTTCAATAAATCCCAAAGTCTGAGGCAGACTGTCCAGGACTGTCCCCGGGCAGAGGCGGGAGCTGCTGATGGGTTATTTCTCTCGCCCTTGTCCCCGCAAGCCCAGCTCCACTCTCAGCCAGGGGTTAAGGACATCCTCTCCCAGTCTCCAGGGTCCCTGGTGCTCACCTGCCCCCTTGCATGCCTGGCTGCTGACCAGGCCCCTCCCCTGGTAGCAAGTATCCTCCCTGTCCCTGTTTGTCCCTCCTGTGTACATGGAGTCACGGCCCCAAGGCTCTCTGTCCATTGCAGGACAGGAGCAGATCAGCCCTCACAGGTCTGTCCTCTGAGACGGCCTCAGCCCCAGCTCACCCCCAAAACTGCCTCCCTGAGTGATGGGGCTCCCCCCTCAGTGAGGCCCCTCTCAGAGGAGCCACAGTCAATGATGTCCCAAATGACCTCCACTCTGAGAGGCCAGCCTCTGGCGCTTCTTGAGGGTCCTGGGTGGTGTTGTGACCCCTCCTGGTTTAAACGCCTCTCCGTTGGCTCTGAAAAGGGGAAGCCCATTTCCAGCTGTCTTCTTTCCCAAGACGCAGGGGACACTGCCTTTGACGGCACAGGAGGCCCACCAAGGGTCTAGCCGGGTGAAGCCAGAACTGCTACCACCAAGAAGTACCATTTCCTCCTCCTCCCAGCCAGCCAGGAGTAGGGAGGATGCTGTAGGAGGCTCTGTTCAGCAGAAGGCCTAGAGATGGGCCTCCTCCCCGCCCAGGAACAGCACCCTGGCGGGCAGTCTGAGCAGGTCCCCGAGGGCTTCTGAGGGGCATTTGTGGAGTGAGTTACCTCCCAGGACCACCCTGGCCAGGAGGAGGCCACCCAGCTAGCCCACTGTCCTGACTCCTCCCTGACCTTCTGTCCTGTTCCTCCCAGTCCCTCAGGACAGGTGACCCAGGGACCCTTACCTGTTCCTTTTGGAGAAGCTGTGGACTGTTTATTTGGAGTCCTGTAGTTGGTTGATTGTGTATTTTAAGTGTTTGAGAGTTAGAAGGAGGCCCAGTGTCAATGCCAAGTCCAAATTCCTGGGGGTGGAAGAAGGACACACACAACTCCACCTGTGACTTCCAAGAGGATGAGGAGCGCCCCGGGGTCAGGGGCAGCCTCCCCTATGATTAGAGAAAGGGCCAGGAAGTCCCCCGCTGTGGACGTGCCAGGGGAAGCGCTCTCCATGGCTGCTAACACTCTCCCTGCTTCCCCTGCACTTTTGATGGACAGAGTCGCGATGCCGCCCCTTCTCCACCCGCCTCCTGCCACCTCACCCCAAGGCACCCTGCATGTAGCAAATAGAGCCTTATTTTACAAGTGGGCAGCTGAGGTACAGCCAGGTGACAGTGAAGAGGCAGTTCCTGAGAGAGGCTGGGGTCCCCAGAGCTTCTTTCACGGTGCTCCAAGGGTGGCAAAGCCCTTGTTGGGACATGAAATGACCACTCCTTCCAATGAGGAAGTAGTTGCTACAGGAAAAGGTTCAGACATTAGCAGAGACTTAAAAAAAAAAATTACTACAAAGCATTGCTCCCCAATAAAACGACTTTTTTGTTAGGGGCGTGTCCAAATTTTTGAATTATATGGGATTTTTTGGTTGTAAAAGTAATACATACTCATTAGAGCCCCCATTAAATTTTTTGAGTAGACGGATGACTACCAGAAAGTAAAGTCAAACAAATTCCATAACAAAAAGAACTTTCTGGAAAAAAAAAAAAAAAGAACTTTCTGTTCATATTGGCAGAGAGAGAGAGAGGCAGTCCTGGTGAGCAGGGGTCCTTGGTTGGAGAGTCTCCCCTGGCCTCCATCCCCTCCTTCTTAGACGTCTGTCTGGTCCTGGCTCTCCAAGGGGCCCCCAGAATTTTCTATACTTTCTTATCAGCATCCCTCAAACTGCAGGGAGCACCCTGCTTGGGGGACCCTAGTTCTTCCTCCCTAAGAATGCAAAAGCAAATCGACCTTGGCCATGCAGCACCTCCCTCTGGTTCTTTAGTTAGTAACTTTGAACTTATGACTCAAGCACATTGTGGAAGGGTTCCTTGTGAGAGTAGAATTCACAGCAGAGGATACAGTCAAAGAACAACCCCAAGGACACGTGAGGAACCCAGACCACTTTACCCAGCGAGACCGAGAGCGCTTCCGTGTGCAGAAGTCGGCCCAGGCCCGAGATGGGCTCCGACGTCCTCGTCTGTCCTTCCCGCCCCCTTCCCTGATGTTCCTGTCAGCTTGTTAAACCTTCCGTTCTTTACAGAGAAAAGCTAGTTTACCTCAAAGAATCTTGTTTCCGCTTGGAAACCAACATGGTCATGTTTTAGAGAGGACGCCCCTCCCCTCCACTGCGCCCTGTCTGGGCCTGTTGTCCTTGGGGCCTGGAAGTCTTGGCTTCATCTGGCTTCAGCTGCTCTGAGTGAGAACAAGGCCTCCAGGCCCTGAGAGGGGAGGGAGGGAGGGACTGGATGCGGCTGTCCCCCTCCCCATTTCAGAATGTAGGGACCAGCCTCTCTCGTCAAGCAGGGTCCTGCCAAGTTACCATAGCAACCAGCAACTCCAAGGTACCACCACAATGGCTCAGCAAGCCGAGGTATGAGGGGAGAGAAAGGGTACTGGCCTGATCAGGTGACCCAGAATTAAGCCCCCCAATGCCAAGGGGGAAGAGAAGAAGCAGGAATGGATTTACGGGTGGTTTCAGGAACTGGCAGAGGTCTTTGAGTCTCAGAGAGGCCACTGAAGGGGGTAGGGCAGGACACTTCTGTTCCAGTTCCCCCCTTCCAGCCACACCCCACTTCTGTTCCAAAATCAAGCTCCCACCTTGAACACTGATCTTTTGTTAGAACAAAGCAAAACAAACCTTTAGACAGCAGTGTTATGATGAGCCTCAAAGACAGGTGGATGAGATCCAGGTGAATGAAGAAGAGGGTCTTCTGGTTTGATTTTTAAAGAAGAGTATCCTAGTAAGATTAAGCAAGAAAAAAAAGATTTTAAAAAAAGTTTTTAAAAAAGAAAACCTATGCTATTTAAATTGGAGCCCAGTTGTAACTTGGTAAAGGCAAGCTTCTGTACCTTTGTTATAATTAATTGTATACCTGTGTATGTAAATATAAGGCATTCCTATTTTGCAGTTCAGAACAAAAAAAAACTTATTTGTAATATAGAATAAAGTTTATTAAAAAATAATAAAAATTCAGTTTGAGATTTGGGTTCTTTGGGTGACGGGCCAGGAGGAGGCTGGGGAGAAGGTGGGTCCTACGTAGGTGGCAACCCCCTTCCGTCTCCAGCTACATCACATCTGAACTCCACCCCCAGAGAAGGACCCTTTTGCTGAAGCTCCATTGTGGGTGGCCAGCAGCCCGCTCGTGCCAGGTAGAGTGGTCAGGGGACGCGTCCCCATGGAGGCCACTTAGCCTCTGGATCCATCGTAACGCAGCCCTGCAGCCCTCGGCAGCCCATTGGAGCTGGCTCAGAGGGGACACCAGGGTTCCCATTCCTCCCTGCTTCACGCCTTCCTTGGCAAGCTGCACCTGAGTGTAGAGATTTTTTAGCATCACATTTTGATAGGGAGTAAAGACCTCGAACCCAGTGGGGCCCCTGGGGAAAGATGGGGAGAAAAATGGTCCAAAGGATGGAGTGGAAGTCAGGAGGAGGGAAGAAGGCCTCGCCCCTGCCCGCTTCCCATGTCCACCTGTGGCCCATATTGTTTGGAGGTGGCAGATGCAGGGAAAGGGAAGCCAGAGTAGATGGCACAGCACAGAGGGGGCCTCGGCACAAGGACTCCTGTAGGCTCTCGTTCACGTTCCACTGGCCACCTTGAGCAGATCCATTCACCTCCAGGCCCTAGGTGTGCAGGTAGACAAGGCAGAACAGGTGAGCTCCATGAAAGGCCAATGATCTTATCAGTCGGAATAAAACTAGGGCAGAAAGAGGGAAGGGGAAGGTAAAGAAGGAAAGGAAGAAGTTAGGAAAGACAAGTGCATAGGAGATGTAAGGGGGAACCTGGTGGCACCCAGCTGTTGATAACATTTTAGGCAAATTCTTCCCTTCCCTGTCTCCCTGCTGCTCCCAGCCCCAACCCCCAGGTCCCTCCAGCCTTCAAAGTAGGACCCTCACTGGCATGAACAGAGATGTCCACCAGGGATGGGCCTCTAGGGAAAAAAGTCCCAGAGAAAAGGGTCAGGAAGTGACCTGATGAGAGTGTCCAATGGGTGTTCCACCCTGGCTTGGCCTCTTAGCACCATCTTACCTCCAGAAGAGAGTCTTCTGGAATATGATGAGCTGCTAAGGAGGAGGACCCATGAGATGAGGAGCAGCAGCCTCTGGCAGACACAGTACAGTGGAGGGACCCAGGAACACCTGGGAACAACCATGGGGACAACCCTGGGAACAGAGGGAGACAGCTACGGGGAAAATGAATTGGCCTCAAGACCAACAGAATGGGTTGAAATCAACCAGACTACAGCAAACTCACAAGTAGAATTCAGTTTGTGACCACGAAGGGATGCCCTTCCCTTCTAAGTGAAGGAGCAGGCTGGATGGGGACAGTGATCTCACTCTGAAGGTTCAGCTCAAGATTCCACACATGACTAAGTTCTTGCCATGTCCTCAGACACACTTACCCATATGATCTCATCCTTCATCAGAATCAATCGCCATGACCTTGAGAAGACTCCCCTCTCTGTGCTTTGGTTTCCTTATTTCAAAATGAGGATAATTCTAACTGCACCCTAAAGCCCAGGCAATCAGGGCAGGCCAATTTAGACAGAGTGGAAAAGACCTGGTGCACTGTGAAATAAAATGCCGCATGCATGCAGTAGTTTATTAGTCATAAAAACGATACTGTACAAACAAGAGCAGATTCGTCCTGGATCCTCAATGACAAATTTAGAATGGATCGACTTACTGCAAAGAAAGCAAACATCTAACACCTTATGAAATGTGTATATTTTTTTTAGGTTGTTAGACTAAGATTCTTAAAGGCAGAGACCAAAGCTACATTGAATTTCCTACCTCAGCTTAGCACAGCATCCAGCACAGAAAGATGCTCAGGAAACCAACCGTAAGGAAACAAAGGGAGAGGGTTCTGAGCTCCAAGCCAAAGTCGCAGCATTACCAGTCCCCACTACTCTGAGAGAAGCCATATTTGCCTTCTAGGGATGAATGCAACCTAAGTCCTTGTAAAAACTACCTACAGTTTTCTGTGCACTTTGATTTTGATCAATGATCACTTTGTCAGGAAAGCTGAGAAGTCATCATCAGTAATACGGCCCATGTTCTCAACCTAGGTCCTTACTCAATATGGCAGCCAGATTTGGAGGCCATGGTTGTCAGCTTCCTGTGATGTCTACAAAGATGCTGGTGATTCTAGAAAAGGTCTGATGATCCTTCTAAGATACAAAGAAGAGGAACTCATGCCCCACCCCCAACCACACCACACACACACACACACACACACACACACACACACACAGAAGGGGCTCTTCTTACCTCTGTTCCGGATGTAGGCCAACCAGTACCCCATCTATCTTCCACGTTCTTCGATTGTTCCCCAGTTCAGCCACAAAATAGTGACAGATCCCTAGGGAAGCATGTTCAGTCCATTCAGCAGGAACACATTCCCCACCATAAGATACCTCCTGTTTCCTCCACCAAGAGGAGCGTAGATATGCCCGCACTGCCCCCGACCCCAGTACACGTCTCATTCTTTCCCCCACTTTGGTTTGCCTTCTGCTTTATGAATTCCCATGGACGACATAGAGTGGAGATGCACTGACTCAGAGCTGGGCCAGTAGCCCAACAGCGCACACTGCTAGGACTTCCATTTCTAGGATCAGTGCCCAGCCCTCTTTTTTGTACCCTGAATGTGCTGTCTACGCGGAGTAGAGGATGACCACGGCTGGTTCAGCTCCTGCCCTTTGATCTCCAGCTCTTCCTGGAGCAAGTCCATCTCTGAATCTTGGTTTTCTCTCCTCTGAAAAGATGAGGATAATAATGCCTTTCTCATAGAGTCATTATAGAGACCCAACAAGGTAAAGATTGCAAAGCACTGGTGCACGTCCTAACACCTTTTGAGGTGGATGGTAGTATTTATGATGCCTAGAAACATGCTGATGATTCTAGAAAAGGTCCAATGATCCAACAAGCTCAAGGAAAGACTTCCCCTAGCATCTCTCTAGTCCTACCTCATGGATAGGATCCAGCATATGGCGGTTGCCCTCAAAATGTATTTTTAAATGAATGAATGTAGTCAAGCAGGTAAAGAGCTTCTCAGCATCTCAAGCCTACACTGCAAATATGGGTAGAACGCAGCTTCTAATAATGAAGCATAGAAAGGGACAGCTCAAAATTATAGGTGCCCAAGTTCCCTCCCAAAGCAGTGTCTGGGACAAGAACTTTTGAGCAGGTGGAACAGGAGTGGAGACCGACTCATTCAAGCCTCCTGACCCAAACGGCTGGGACCCTACTCCCCCGGGGCCTCTGGGAACTAGAGAATGCACCTTGGGATGTGTCCACTGGCTCCATTCCCTATTGTCAAAGACTGCCCAGAGGGCCCTTCGGCCTCTTTGTTGGGATAGCTGAGTGGCTCCCTCAGGTTCCCCAAAATGATAGATGAGAGGAGCCCTCGGGAAGAAGTCAAGGGAAACACAGTGTCCCCGAAGCAGATGATGTCTCAACACACATGCAAGCCCCCTGGTTGCTTTGGCAACCGCTGGGATAGAAAGGCAGTTCAAGAAGAGACGAGGTGAGAAGCAAGGGAGTCTGCAACACAATACACAACTCTGCACAGTCCCTAATTAAGTCTATGAAAGCAAGATGAAAGTCATTTAAAGTAGTATTTTCCTGATAAGAATCCACCCCCATTTTTCAATCTCTTCATTTTCCCATTATTTCCATCACTACGTACAGCTGCTGCTTTTTCTCCTCCTTTCCATCAGAGTGAACCAAGTTTTTATTCCACCTTGAGAGGACTGAGATAAGTAAGGAAATCAAAGGGACACGCATCACACTGTGGGTGAGGGCTGAACAAACCCCCTGGGTCTGCAGCTCATCAAACGCACAGAAGACCTGGAGAGGTACCTCCCGGCACCTCCCGCCTTCCTGTGCTCACTACACAAGTAGCACCTTCTCCTGCAGGGTTACAGCCTCTGGTCACCTGTAATGCACCGCCTGGAACTTTATTTTAGCAGAATCAAACTAACAGCAAACAGTCTGATATATGACAATGTTATCCCTAATAATTTCACTCTTTTATGTCCTGTCTCCTCGACTCAGATGAGTTGTTAGAGTTGGGTCTTTCAGTTCTTCCATTCTGAACTCAATGTTGGATACACAATAATAAGATAAATGATTGGTGTTTCCTCTATTGTGCTGGACCACGAGACGGGGTCCTGAAGAAGAGCATCTAATGAAACTAAACTGATACTGAAGACGAGGTTTTCAAAATGATCTTTGTCTGCCATAGCCTGTCAACGGAACAAAATAGGTTCCTTAGGAAAATAGATAGTTGGGGGTAAAGAAGAGGCTGGAAATATTGGGTAGAATGGTGACATTGATTTCCAGTCCCCTATGATCAGGGTTCATGTCCTCCCAAACCCAAAGGACATTCTCCAAGGGAGGAGTTCAGCCTTAAAGCAATAACTCCAGTTCTACAAAAGGCAAGTGATAGAGCTACAGAGTTGGGAGGAGGACCCAGGTTTCTCTGATTCCAGAACTTATGCTTTTAATGATTGCATGGTATACAACAAACAAAATATGAATGAGTCTCAGCCTCTTTCCCTTTCTTTCTTTCTCTGTTTTTTTTTGTTTGTTTGTTTTGTGCTGGGTATTGAACCCAGGGCCTTGTGCCTGTGAGGCAAGCACTCTACCAACTGGGCTATATCCCCAGCCCCTCCCTTTCTCTCTCTGTGATGGATGCACTGATTCTCATCATATTATTGGAACTGCAAAGGACATCGCAGAAAATAAGAGCAAGAGCAGGCATTAGGTCATAAGCTAAAACAGAGTGAAGAATAGACCTTGAGGAGATTTATCCAGAAGAATGGGTAGGAACGGGTAGCCTTTTGGTGGGATGCGCCATGGTTACAGAAGGACCTGGGTTCAGATCTCCAATACTGCACTTAGCCGTTTACGTATAGCCTGAAACAGATGGGATCCCATCCTAGGCTTCCCTTCCTTCACTGGTGAAATGGAGATAATTGGTGAGGAACTTGTGGGGATTCCTGTGACATGGGCACAGAGCCTGGGACAGAGTAAGAGCACCTCCAGAGGAGCAGTGATTTTCGACCGTGCTGCACTAACTTGCACTGGAAACCTGCTTTCTGGGACCTTCTTTCTCCATGCTGAACACGACAGAGGCCATGGCTGGAGCCAGGGAAGGCGGACGTATTGATAGCCATGCCCTCCTCTGTAGCAGGTTCATCTCCCCCCTGCGGGGAGGAACGTCATCGGAGCCAGCCCCCCCAGCAAACAGTCTGCCCTCGGGCTGAGGGTTCCTCTGAGGCCCAGTGAGTATTTGCTTCCTGCTGAGAAGCTGGTGGCCACCATTTTGTAAGGCAGAGACTAGAGACAACTGACAGAGAGGAAGGCGGCGGCTTCATGCCACTGGCCCCATCCAGAGAGAGGGCCACAGTGCGGGATATGGCGGCCCCCACTGAACTCTGGGAACCCCCTGGAGCCCTTTCTGTCTGGTGTCTGGGCCTGTAGCTGGGCCTGCCTCTCCAGGGCAGTTCCTGGAGTTCACTCCGAAATGGCTCCACGGAGTCCCCGCTGCCAGCCCCTTTCCCCTTTCCTTCCCAGGGGGCATTGGGGCTCTGCCTGGGCCCCCACCACACAGGCCGCTGGTCACTGGCACCCTGATCAGCCTTCTCCAGTCCCTAACTCAGGGCTGATACCGGGCTGGAGCAAAGAGCAGGCCCCAGTGAGTTACGAGGCCGTGATTCCATCAAGGGCTTCTGGAGAGATCGTAAACTCATGTCCCAGGTCCCCCCAGTCCCCCGGCCCCTCTCTCCTCAGAATGATTTACAAGCCTATAATTCTGAGGCGGGACTGTTTCTGCTCTCACATAATCCAAATATTTTCATAAAGCAAACGTCACCCTTTCTCTTTGGCTTTCCAGTTGCCTCCCTCAGAACTAGCAAGTGGCAACAGCGTCCTCTAGTGGCCTGGTCCCACGGCGGGCCCCCGGGTGGGATAACCCTGTGCCTTGTGATAACCCTCTGCCCAGAGATGGTGTAAGGAAACCCAGGGCAGGCCCCAAACCAAGCAGCATTCAGGGTCTCTCTGGGCATTCAGGGACATGCAGATGTGGACCGAGAGGGACTAGTAAAGCTTTGATCTCTGTGACTCTGTGTCATTCTGTTGACAAGCTTCTGCTGGGCCCCCACTTGAGTGGGGACCCTGCAGACCCTGTGAGTTGCATTGCCCAGACTAGTGTTCCTTCTGTGCCTGTCCCTGCCCTTCACATACTGAACATGACCCCTCCTGACCAACACTCCTTCCTGCAGCCAATGGGATGAACATAACATCCCCCGACATTATACTTCATATGCGCCCTTTCATAATCTGTCTCTCCCACTCAAATACAGACTCCGTGAAAGCCAGGATCTGCTCTAGTTAGGCTCTGCTGTATTATTAGGCCCTAAACAGAAAGGTTTGTTGAGTAAAGAAAGGTGGAAGGAACAAAGGAGCAAAGGCGTGACCAGGTAAGGCAGCTGGAGGGTCGGGAGCAATCTCAATAGACACAGAAGCCAACGACTGCCTGGGGACTTCCTAGCCCCAAACTGGAGCACGCAGGATGGCCGGGCTGCCATTTCCTCCTTATCCCCAGCACTGGGTGGCACGAGAAGGAGGGTGGAATTCTTAAAGCTGGCGCTGGGATAGGATCAGAGAGGGACCCAGGAGTGGGAACCCATCCTGCCAACTGTCCTGAGGGCCCCTGGCCATTCTGCTCCAGTGTCTTTCATGGGAAGTTCCCACGGTGATGTGCCGTCATTGGTGGCCCAAGAACCTCTGCCCCTTGGAAAGAGACAACGATTGATGACCCCAGCTGTGTAGAGTGCCGCCCCCCCCCCTCGTCCAGCCCAGACACCACCTAGGCCACCATTCTCCCTCCCTCCCCACCTTTCTGACTTCTTCCTGAGCCTGGCTTTTCCTTTTAAGATCTGCTCCTGTTCTTGTCGGTGGTGGCTGGTAACTATGGAAACTACAATTAGGCTGTTTTGCTCAATGTCTCTAAAAATTGCCAAGTGCAGGCAGCAGCAGCCCCTGACTTAGCAGAGACCCCGCCTGAGCTCTTCCGTATGTTCTCCTAGGACACACCCTTGGCGGGGCTGGGACAAGGCTCCTGATCCTGACAGTGAGGCAGGACCGGTTTCTCTTTTTAAAAATTTCTGATTCATTGCAGTCCAGTGTTTTTGAAACATATAATAAAAACAAATTAGGAAGGAAATGGAAGAGATGATACACAGCACAGAAGCCCCAATTTTTTAATGGGAAATTCAATAGACAGAAGATTATTCCTTCGATAGCTGTGTTTCTCGGATGCTAACTCTCAATTCCTGCACTATGTCATCACGGGTCAGCACCAGTGTGTACACAGGCTCTGGTCCACAGACCACACTCTGGATGTCTTTGTCCTGAAGCCCCAGGAAGAGAGTCGGGCCCCACCCCACCTCCAGGCACCCCAGGCAAGCCTGCTGACCTTTGTCCAGCTTGAGCCTGTACCCAAACATGTGCCAGGGTAGAAGGTACGGTTTCTCTGGGGACCACTGACAATCCAAGGAAAGGTCTGCACTTGACCTTGAGCAAATGTGTGTGAGGGAAACAGCCACAGGATCCTGATCACGTGCTTCCCAATAGCCAGGCATCTGCGTAGAGTCTCCTGGCACAGGCTAGGGGTCACCAGAAGGGATCTCATGGAGTTTGCCTGATAATCCACCCGCTACCCAAGATTTGCCTGATAATCCACC